TCTCACCTTCATACTATCAACAATAATGTCCACACCTGTCCTCCTCCTCCTCTGCCTTCTTCCCACCCACTTTTACTCCTGGTCTCTTCAGGTGACCTTTTATGCCATTCCAAAGTCACTGATACTGCAGCTCAGATTGGGACAGCGAGTAACACACAGCATGGCCCAAAACTCACTACTGCTCTTAGGCATCGGGTGTTTGGTTGGACTTTCTCCATGTCCGTCATAACCTTTCCATTTCTTTCAGGCAAGAGCTTGTTAAGCTCATAAGTATCGTTCCCTTTAACAATCTGAGGATACCCTGGATCCATCTCCAATGGGTCCAGATAATGGATTTCAGTTTCCATTTCCGTTCTTTTACTTCATACAGGCTGAAATCAGGTGATTTCGAACCAGCTGCCAGATCAATGGTCGTTGACCCGCCCTGGATGATTGTACTGTCGTGATATTTCTTTGGGTATGATTTTTCTGCATGCCTCATCACATCAAACAGTTCTGGGAGGATCTCGTGGCCAAGGTTTGGGCAGTGTACAATGAGCACACCCTCATTGTAGTCGACTCTGCATGATCATCAACATTCAGTTGAAACTGACCAAACTTGTGACATACCTCACAGCTTGCCAGTCTCCGCTTTCTGTGGCTTTTCTACGACTGCTTCATATGTGGCAGATGGAACGTTTTGCATAACAACCCTTGTTACTGCCCGATCTGCAACGTTCCTGAAGGACTTCAAAATAAGTCGCAGGTTTCCGGAGATGGACTTGATGGAGATGGTGGAGGGGTCAAATCACTAGGCAGTAGGTTCGCTTCTGTGGGAGGCACTGCAACCCGTACAAGGGTTTCAGACACGCATGAGGATTCCGATCGACACTGGGACTCCTCAAGTGAAGTCCGTGTACTGTTGGGTGGTGTAGGTAGGTGGTTACGAAGCGATATTCCCACTGTTGGGAGGTTGGAAGGTATATATATGCTGCTCATAATTGAAATCACTGGACTGTGTGTCTGATGTTATTCGATGCATGATGTGGCTCAGGGGGAGATAAGGATGATCTATGCGCTGATTATATATATGTCAACATATTCCCCTTCTCACGCACCATCCACAATATTGATTTTCCCAAATATGATTTTTGTGTTACATTTGATTGAGCTCGTGAGAAGAAACAGTTTCAGCATGAGGAAATCCACGCTTACATAAGCCTGCCCACCAACTGATGTCAGCTACCTATGCATCTGCATCTACAACATCTCCATCCATGCTCATCATTGTCTTCATACCTTTTGTCTGTTCGATGAGATACTTACTATATGTAGGGCCTGAGTTACATTAGCAGCCAATGAAAATCGTCTATCGTTTATGGCATGGTACCCAAGAAGATATTCATCAACTTGAAACTCCGCTCTCCCGACTGTTTCTTCATACACGTGACATTGCTATGTCCAAATAGAACCCACTTGCTTTCCCAAAGAAAGAAAACATCCCCGATAGCATGATGGACTACTCTTTGTCTGGAAGTCAACCCCTCGCCATCGCCCATTTTCCCCACATCAGTGAGATAGCACTAAATGAATGACAAAGGTCTTGCACACTCACATGTTTACCAAGGTTTCAAATGCGCTTGGCCTGTTTAGAACTGTCCACGTAGGTCGAATCAGTGTCCAGTAAAATTTTAGGAAGGGTTACAAATGTGCCAGTGGAACTCGCCCTATAATTGGCCATGCAGTATGTGATCTCAACAAGTACATAGGGCGGGCAAGTGACAAGTAAGTTTGTTTATGATATGTTCTGGCCATTTCTGGGGTCACCGCCACCAAAAATCACCTTGCTTGCAAGGTCATGACTCATGCCATCTCAATAATTCTGCGAATCGTCCACAGATACCGGCAAATCCAGAACAAGTATCTCTCACTGTTTTCAGCGTTGCTCTTCCGAAACGCACGATAACTATCCAAGCCATCATTTATCCTGTAATTTCTATGTCGGAGTGTTCCGCACCACTCGCACAAACACCGGCAAATCCCTGCTGATGAAGCTTGACCAGGACCACAACGGGTGAGGTATGTCAGCCAAGTCTTGACCTCCCCTTGGTAGGAGAAGGAAAGGCACACATAATGTCTGAATGACTCCAACCACGCCATCTTGGCCAGGCCCTGAGGGCAATCATTCACCTGGAGAGACAGACCACAAGCATTATTGATCATCGGGCAACAGCACCTTGCTATAAAAACAATCAGACAAATGGGTATATGAGCGCAGGAGTATCGGTCTTGTTGTCCAGTCCTATCAACCACAGATTATGTCTCCTTGACAGGAGACGGCGACGCCATGTATGCAACATGTCTGGATGACTCCAGAACACATGTCACTGGGATGTGACACGGCACGGTACATGATGATGTGGAGAAGGTTAAAGAAAAGTTGAATGTTGGGCAAACCATTAAAATACTCAACACAAACATACCACCACACAACCACACATGAAAATTGTGTCCGCATAGCCAAAAGTCCCACGTTAGAGAGAGCACGTACATAGTCTCGACCTTTGCCTTTTCGAGCCGGATTACTGCATGACGACACTGATTGAGACCAGATGAGTACAAAAAGCAGAGTGCGTGACACCGCTGACGTGGAAGTTCAGACTTGCTCTTACTCGCTGTATTCATCGTTGGTGTGACAGAATGCCCAACCGGGAACTTACGAAACGAGTCGTCGGATGCGCAAACAAGATCAGTGGCGGAACATTTGCATGCGTGAAAGACTCAGAAGAAGCATGAAAGTTGGAACTACTAGTGCTGGAGTATCAGCGTACAGAGTAGATGCAGAAATGTACAATATCAGTCCTGGCATGCAACATAGTCAGCTGAAAACGTAATGTAACTGAAAACGTAATGTAACTGAGATGGCGGTATGCTCTGAGAGTTCGAGGGGGCAGTAGAGTAGTATGATCCAAAGTGAAACTGAAAGTCAAAGGGAGTGAACCGATTCACGTCCGTCATCTGTTGCGACGATTGCGCTCTCCTCGTGCAGCCCGTGCCTTGTTGACTCCTGCAAGCAGTGGGGTGTGTCATCGCTTGGATAGCCTGGGAGGAAGAGGATTTCATGTGACTGGTAACGAAGGCAACGGAAAAAACAGAAAATGCGTGGGCACCGTCACACGAATCGCAGCAGTAATTTCAGTGAGAAGCACTCACCGGTTAATGAACTCGAATGCGACACGTGTTCTAGTCACTGCGGAAAAAATAAAATAAACGGATTTGCATAGAGTACGAATACAGCCTGTAAATGTACACAAAGCATAGAATGCAAATTGAGGAAAAGTACACCAATGCGGATACAGAAAGGATCAGTTTTGACATGTAAAACCGACTATGAAACGAGATTTCCAGATGTGAATTTGTTGTCTTTGTGTTAAGCAGACTTCAGTCTTACTATCGATCTGAATGATTCACACATTGGATTACGGACGGGGATTCGAGTGAAAGCGGAGGCACCGAAAAACCAAAAGTACGATCGAGCACCACTCAACCAGCGCACGATATTGCAAACGCCATCATCAAACATTTCTGGAAGGACTTGAAGACGGCAACCAAGACATATCGCAAGAAGCAGACGGACGGGAGCAACAACCAAATGCATCCAGGGGAACCCATCAGTAGAGAAGAACTATTGACCTGCCTAAAGCGCTTTACGACATTGTAATGTTGTCTGATTCATTTACGTACCTCCAATCTCAGAGACTTCATATACCCACACTCCTACAATACTGTAACATCGATTTGACTTCTGTCGCTTAGAGGACTCTATGGACGTTCGGACTTTGGCGCATCCAGCGATCTCCTGGACTCGTGCTTGTTTAAGTAGTGCTCTCCATTCATACGTAACATTAGCATAGATATAGATATGGCCACTGAGTTAAACCTCAATGTTGCATTTCGCAATGCCTGCCTAAGTACAAATATCGACTTGTTAAACGAGTCAGACATGACTCATATGTCGGGTTAGTTCCGAGGGCAGCACGAAATTACATTGCCTAGATATGGTATCAGATGGGCATCATTCTCCACTTAAATTGGTGGGATTCACACATTTCCCAAACGCTGCGTATATCATATTTATCGCCACTATTTGGAAACATCCTCAGGCTGTAAGGCGTTGTACCTAGATGGGTACACGGGAGTATTTACTATATATGGTCATGGAAAGAGCAACTCCGATGCTCAACACTCGCATGTAATGGATGCTACACTCATTAGCCACCCTTTTAAGACCTTTTCCTCGTAATTCGAGGAATATGTCTCCCGGCCAAATATGCACATCGAATACTGTCTCGAAGCTCTGGTATCCATGAAAGGATTTTTGCCAGACAAGTCGCTGCCTGCCGTTGCCTCGCTGCCAAGTTGATGGCAGAAAAGTTCGGCTCCGTGTAGACTTCTTTTTTCTCAATGCTGCTCGTAATTCTGTCGTCATCGTGTATTAAGAGACTGTAACGATGAAACAGAAAATGCAATGTTAGAGGACTCAGATACTTTACTTCGAATTTTTAACATATACCCTCGGAAGTTGCCAAAGTCTTGGAAGTCTCCAAAGTAACTAGAACGACACGTTTCAATCATACCAATTTCCCACGGCCTAGTGCTCTTCCATCCATGCTCTTCTATTCAAAACACTCTGATGTTCGTCAGGCACGACCCTTTGCTTCGTAATTCGAAGCAGATGCTTGTGGCCAACGTCTCTGCAGTCTCTAAGCTTAATGTCTAAAGTCTCAGAAGTCGCTAAAGCTGCCAAAGTCACCAGTCCGGTCTCCCAAGGTGCCACAGTGGACTCGAACCTCCCACGCCAGTGCCCTTCTATCCCAAACGCTCCAACCTCCCTCAAGTACAAACATCTGCTTCGTAATTCGAAGCAGACGTTGTGGCCAAAGTTTTTGCAGTCTCTAATCCCAATATCTACAACTACACATCTTTGCTCCGTAATTCGAAGCGGATGTTGCCAACGTCTTCGAAGTCGCCAAAGTAAACAGCTACCGCGTTTGACTTGGACCTCCCACGGCACTGCTCTTCTATCCTAAACACTCCGACGTTCGTCAAGTACCACCCTTTGCTCCGTAATTCGAAGCAGATGCATGTGGCCAACGTCTCCGTAGTCACTAAGCTTAATATGTAAAGCCTCAGAAGTCGCTAAAGCTGTTAAATTCGCCAGTCCAGCCTCCCAAGGTGCCACATCTGACTTCAACCTCTCACGCCAGGGCCCTTATATCCAAAATACTCGGACGCTCGTACAAACCTCTGCTTCGTAATTCGAAGCAGATGTCGCCAAAGTCTTGGAAGTCTCCCAAGGTTCCACATCTGACTTGAACCTCTCACGCCAGCGCCCTTATATCCAAAATACTCGGACATTCGTACAAACCTCTGCTTCGTAATTCGAAGCAGATGTCGCCAAAGTCTTGGAAGTCTCCCAAGGTTCCACATCTGACTTGAACCTCTCACGCCAGCGCCCTTATATCCAAAATACTCGGACATTCGTACAAACCTCTGCTTCGTAATTCGAAGCAGATGTCGCCAAAGTCTTGGAGGTCTCCGAAGCTGCTACGTTTCACTCGAACTCCTTGGTACGCCGGTGCCCTTACATCCAAAACATCCCGACGCTCGTACAAACCTCTACTTCGTAATTCGAAGCAGATGTCGCCAAAGTCTTGGAGGTCTCCGAAGCTGCTATGTTTGACTTGAACCTCTCACGCCAGCGCCCTTATATCCAAAATACTCGGACATTCGTACAAACCTCTGCTTCGTAATTCGAAGCAGATGTCGCCAAAGTCTTGGAAGCCTCCGAAGCTGCTACGTTTGACTTGAACCTCTCACGCCAGTGCCCTTATATCCAATGTACTCGGATGTTCGTACAAACCTTTGCTTCGTAATTCGAAGCAGACGCTGTCGCAAACGGCTCCATAGCCTCTAACCCTAATGTCTAAAGTCTCGGAAGTCGCTAAAGTCGCCAGCCTCCAAGCTGCCACGTTTGACTTGGACGCGTCAAACTGAGCCTTCCCTCGTCGGACCCCCCGTCATGTCCTCTACAACACCTCCATAGCGGTCCTCAACCAGATCCCTTCATCGTACGAACGCCGTTTTCCTTGTCAACCGCATGCTCACATTTACCGCAGGCAAAACGTCAGATCGCCCCTTCCTCTCAATCCTCCTAGTTTACTAGTCGTTGCAGGTTCATGTCGTACGTGTTTTTTTTTTGTAATCCGGCATCGCTTGCATTCACTTAGAGGTCAACGTACTAAAGACTTTTTCAGCGGTGTACGACTCTACACGTATTCGCTGATTGCAGAGGTTATCCTAGAAGTAGATCATGCTCAACCATTTGCACAAACGCTATGGAGAAACTGACGCGTTCGACTGCTTCATTCGTTTCAGACCGCACTCGCTCAAATTTTTCTGGTACGAGACTTCCTCACATTCGCATTCATTATCTTGCAGCAGTTTGCCCTACATATACTACATATACTACATATACCACAGGTATACCCATTTCCCGGTTTCACCGTGTGACTCGTCTATGCAGCCCTACAATCGATCAAGCTACAGATAACACCATTGTCGTGACCATGGACGGCCGCAGAAACTCACCGTCCCCATATCGCCTCACCCCCAAGTTCGCCTACTGTAATGCAGCAGTCCCATCCCCCTTGCCCCGCTTCCATGAACCCAATCAGTGGAAACCATGCTGGTACTCCTACGTCAGGTAGCGTGCTCTCTCTGGTTTCCTGCGACCTCGCTATTTTTGATCCTGATCATCTGCTGATGTTCCGGTGTCAATTGGAACAAAGGCGGGCTAGCACGAGACCGAACGAGTGTAGGTTGGAATGGACAGCAACAGCGCATCCAGCAGTCGTGTTCTATTGTAGCCGTGTACATGTAATTCACATTTCCAATATCATTGTAACAGATCCGGTACAACCTAGAGTAACGCGAAAATATTGTATGCACACACATTTGCACATGTCCTAGTATCATTTTCTGGAGAGTTGATCTTGCTCAGCTCTGACAACTTTCACGGAACGCCATCCATTCTCAGCACAGTTGGTTCTCAGCGTGCCTCAATCTCAAAACATTAAATTTGACCACAGTTGAAGGATTCGCGACTCCACATAATCATTATCTATAGCACGTTGAACTACAGACCACCGAAATGGAATTTCCACGTTTGTGTGTGGAATTGTGGATCAACAATATTGCCATTTGTGGCACCTCAACATTGCTCACACTCCGCCTGCCTTGATTACTCAAATCCTTGACTTAAACTCCTCGTCACTTGTTCATCAACTACATTCAATCTCACCGTAACTTCTCGTTGGAAATTCCAGCGAGTCGTTTCTCGGTGGTTTATATCTCTACGAACACGCGCTCAACAAGCACTCCGACTCTAAATACCTGCCCATCTGCGTTTCAACACATCACCAGTGCGCATCCAGCATTTCGTTGATATCCCCAACCACCTAAACTCGAGTCTTCTCTCCGTGGTTCAGTCCCTCAACTTCTCGAACCGCGCATTGCCTTACACCCTCTCCGACACGTCACATGCCTCGGTTCAACGCTCCATCCTCAAGAAAGCCAAAGGCCGCGAATTCCACACCTCGTATACGGCCTGCGGCCATGTCTGTGACTCGAAAACCCACAGTCGAAGATCATGCTCCTGGTGAGACAAATCCTCATCATCATTCACAACACCTCATTTCCGTTCCTTAGACAATGAAAAGGGATCAACGTCCCTCGGAGCTTCGTCTTGGCCAGAGAACCCATGGGCAGACGTCGAGCAAATCACCACACGGCCAAAACGGGGCCCTACATGTACGTCGACCGAATATCTATTAACACTCGTCTGACTCCTTTGCTCCAGTCGTCGACTATTGCAGCAAGCCGGGCCAATTCTGGCCAGACGGACAAGAGCCTCCCTTCAAAGGTCAGAAAGCCGCGAAGCGTATCTTCGTCACCAAAGGCAAAACGCAACCGCGCAAAGAGATCACCAAAAATTACGAAGAAATCAAAGAGCTGAAGAACTATGTGCCGTCTGACATATTTCACCCACGAACGGGAGATATCGAACTCTACTACGACTACTCCGACTACGACGGTACCGACGAGGAGGATCTATTTGACATCGACGAGGATGACGCTATACCTCCCCCCGCAGTCGCTCCCGTTCCTCCTCCTACCGTTGTCCCCGCTCCTCCTCGTGTCACTGTGCATGTACCGGCTGTAGGTCCCCCTCCTCCTCCTTCGACATCACCAGGCGGGCTGCCACAGTGTCAAACTGAAACGGAGCAGCAAAAGATGGAAAAGAGGAAGAAGCTGAAACAAATATTCAAGGATAAAGCTGATGCACGAGCAGCCGATTTTGCGCGGGCCAAGAAAGAGAAGGAGATGGAGGAGCAGAAGGAGATCGACAGGCAGAAGGAAGACGAGAGGCAGCTCGACATCGTCAGGCAGAAGCAGCTCGAGATCGAGAGGCAGAAGCAGCTCGAGATCGAGAGGCAGAAGCAGCTCGAGATCGAGAGGCAGAAGCAGCTCGAGATCGAGAGGCAGATGGAAGTCGAGAGGCAGAAGCAGCTCGAGATCGAAAGGCAGCAGGAATCCGACAGGCAGAGGGAGCTTGAGATCAAGAGGCAGCAGGACCTTGAGATCGAAAGGCAGAAGGAAGCCGACAGGCAGAGGGAACTTGAACGTGAACGCCTCGAACGGGTACAGAAGGCGGATTCGGGTGGTCGAGTTATCGCGGAGGACGGCATGGACGTCGACATCGAGCCAGGCGAAGTGACCTCTGGGTCACACGCACCATCTCCAACCAAGGGCAAGACGGACACAGTCAATCGCCGAGATCGTTCTCCTCGTCGCCCACATGCGCCCTTCGTTCCAAACCGTTCACGTCGTTCATTGTCTCCTCCTCCACGTGGATCGCCATACCATGCATCTCGCCGAGAACTGTCTCCCCCCCGTCGACCATCGTCATATAGAGATTACGCTCCGTCTCAGTCTGACCGTCGCGCGCCTCCTCGTCGTTACCGATCACCTCCCCAAGAACATTCGACTCGCCGCGGTAGATCCCCCTCGCCGGGTAGAGCTCGGGGAAGTCACAGACAGTCCAACCGTCAACACAGTCCTGTCCGGAGAAGTTATCGCAGTACGTTTGCTTTCCCTCAAAACAGGCAGCTTGTCATAACAATTTTTTCTTATCACAGCGCCTTTGCCTCATCGCGGGCCACAACCAAACCGGCGCCGTGAGTACATACTATCGTTACTCTGAATCCTGAACTTATTTTTATATTTATAGCTCTTGATTCATGTCACCCTTCGTATCCCACACGAGCACCTTCCACCAACGTACCTGCTGCACCGTCATCAATTCCTGGCACTTTGTCTCTCCCAATGGGATATCTACAGTTCTTGCCCTCTTCTACTGTAACAAGCGTCGCAGGGTTGAACATGATGGGCTGCCGTCCTGCCAATAACACAGTAACCCGCTTCATCTTAGATCGAACGAACTGCCTCGCACAGTACGACGACCTCAATCCGCTTTCCCCGTCGTTGCGTAGCGATCCTCAAAATCGCCTTCTCCACATCGCTTGTTACCCTCCATATCACCTCCTCCATGCCATATCTCGTGGTAGGTTGGTCGTATCCAAGAGGACTGAAATCAGACTGCGTCTATGGAGAGCGCAATATCCGGATGTCCCCCTGTGGTTTTTCGCAATTCGTTGTCTCTCCCGCGGAATGGATTGGCGGGTCTTTGCCAATCCCCAGCACCTCGTCGGCCCACTGAGTACCCTCTCAGGTCCACGTCCCGCCTATCTGGACCAAAAACCTCTCTTGCTCACAAGGGGCAACGGAGAGTTTGAGCGGTACGAAAACAGCGTCAGGGATATGCTCCGACTCCCATTCAGCCGCCGTTTCTGTGGTATGGGCGGTCTTCTGTGGCGACTTGCAATCCAATTTGGACCAGACAACCTAATTTCGGCTGCCCTGTCTGGACCTTCGAGCGACGCTTCTATGCACTCGAACGTCGAGCGTATCGGCACCGATGTTGACGACATGGTAACGGACGCCCACATCAATACCCTATTAGGCCTAACGGACGACAACCATATCTTATGGCCTCCCATTGATGTATTTGACAAGTACACGCAGTGGCAAGGAGAATGGACGGCAAGCCTGGAGACATGGTTCATGAGGCACATTGCCGCGATGAAAAATAGGGATTCGCGCGCATTTGCCACCCGTAGTCAATGGATATCGAGACTTGGCCAGCATACGGCAACTTCGTTCAAAGACGCCAAGGTTGTGACTGAGGGGCAAGCGGAGTTGTTGTGCTACGACATTGATCGGTTGGATCCGAGATCTTTCGCGGCTTTAGATTAGCTTGGGTCATCGTCATTTTATTTGGTTTACAGAAATCGCTCGTTATACCCATACCGCACATCTAGCAACGGAATGTACTTTTACTTACTCATACTTCTTGTACAATTATTGGGTTCAGGAATTCAAACTTCAAGAACAGAACGGTATTTGCACGATACATTGGATCAAAGGACTATCGCTTCATGGTATGCAATTTTGTCTTGAGACTTTTTCCAAATCTACGTCTTATAAGTCCACGAAGTCGAACCTCGAAATCTATGTCTCAGAAGTCGCTAAAGTGGAACTTCCAAATCTATGTCTTACAAGTCGCTGAAGTAGTCACAACCGAATTACCATTACTAGTATCCGATATTTATTCATGTACAATAATGATCGCTACACGGTCTTTCTCCAGTTAATTCCTGTATACAGGCGAAGATCAGGGAGAACACATCGGTGTCCCAGTTTGAAAGTTTGTTTTGGAGGACTGAGACAAGTTGTTCGAAACCCATGCCGGTATCAACATGCTTGTTTGGGAGTGGCTCAAGCAAGCATGTTGATACAGGCATGGGTTTCGAACAACTTGTCTCAGTCCTCCAAAACAAACTTTCAAACTGGGACACCGATGTGTTCTCCCTGATCTTCGCCTGTATACAGGAATTAACTGGAGAAAGACCGTGTAGCGATCATTATTGTACATGAATAAATATCGGATACTAGTAATGGTAATTCGGTTGTGACTACTTCAGCGACTTGTAAGACATAGATTTGGAAGTTCCACTTCAGCGATAGATTTGGAAGTTCCACTTCAGCGACTTCTGAGACATAGATTTCGAGGTTCGACTTCGTGGACTTATAAGACATCGATTTGGAAAAAGTCTCAAGACAAAACTGCATACCATGAAGCGATAATCCTTTGATCGAATGTATCGTGCAAATCCCATATCTTAAGGACGTTTGGGTCGTCACCATCCTGAGGCCCATGAACTCAAATGCTGAACGGTGCTGATACTGTTTCTGCGGATGTGACTGCCCGAATCAGTGGTGGACCGAAGTTGAAAACCGATAGTATGGTTCTCGACCACTTCCGACTTAATGCTTTAACGCATCAACATCGACGTTCGACCAGATCACTAGTCTGTAATTCAGACTAGTCATCCTTCCGGAAAGACAACCTGGCTGTAGACGCTTTCCCTCCTCACGGCGTGCACTTGAACCCGATTCTCGACCCTCTGCTACTCACTCTCCCTCTCTCAACACTCCTGTGCATATCCCCCCGCAGGACATGGCGTCCATAAATTCGATCACAAATTTCTGCGCGGGTTCTCCTCGCCATAGAACCGCAACGCTAGTTGAACGGCTGGTACTGTGACGCACATCTCGGACTGTCTTGCAACTACTGTGCCGTAAATCTCAAATATGTCCATGCCCCTCGGACTTTGCTTGTTTAGACAGCAATCCTTTTACTGTCATGATAGAAGCACTCATATCCACCGAGTCGGTATTGAAATGTTGACATGTGTGTATATGTTCATATACAGATGTTGAGAATCCTCAATCGATGCCTTCCATGTCACAGCGCCTTGCCGTCCACCTCTCTTAAGAGTTCTGGACATTAGATTCGCAGTATACATCGTTCCTCCGCTCACCAGTCGCAAATGCTTCGCCTCCACGACGACATCCTACTCGAACTCTTCGAGTACGCCTACGAGCAAGCGCGAGATGAGCTACTTCAGTGACTTCATCCCTCTCGCTACCGTCAATAAAACCTTTTTTTCACGTCTCGATCCCGCCATTGTGGAGGAAGCTACCATCTGTAGAGCCCCTGCTACACCTCATACCCGAGCATGTCTTGCAAAAACGGTTGATTGAGAACCAGTGGTCATATGTAGGTCAAGCCTTTTGTATCCCGCCTTTCGGTCAGCGCGCATATTCACGTGACACACAACGGAGACACGCTTCCAATCCACTTTTTGGAAGACCTATATAGCATCCCGATGGCACATGTCAACCTCGCGTGCTTCTCCATGTGTATAGGCTTAGTTAGTGGGTTAGTGTTTTAGTGAAAAACGTGTCAGCACATGGAACGAGACACGCAGACATGTGAACAACCCAATGTCATCCACAGTTTCAGCTACAGTGGAAATTGGAGATTGTCGAGCATCTCAAGACACTCGATATGTTGTTCCGTTCTGCTAACAACTTGCAGTGTCCGAGATTTGGGTCTTACAAAGGCACAACTTGGGATAGCTGGACGAGCAAAGGACCTAGGGAGTTTCATGGCGTGTTCCATAAAGAAACAGCTCTTGGTGCACAACTGCGACGCAAACGGTGCAAGGAGACATCAAAGTCGAAGTCGAAAACCAGATGTGGCACCACTCAAATTTCGGACTTTAATTCCAGTGTCGAGGCCTATTTCTTCACAACAAAATGTATTGTTATTAACAACACATGACCCCTGTTCGTCCTTGTAGTGCCTGGCTAGACTCAGCATAGGACTTAGAGAGTCATGCTCTATTGATGAAAATCGGGTTCCGACTTCCCTGGCCTGACAGCCAGGTCCTGACTTCCCTTGGCAGGAGAAGTGAAGGAAGCACGCACATGTCTGAATGACTCCAGCTCCCGCATCAACATTGTAGGGAGGCGGCTGCAAGAGCAGGCAACATATTGTTCATTGGGAAACACAAGACCACCATGGCCTCAGTGATAATTGGGCAACAACGCCTCGCCTAAAAAAACAATCAAACAAATGAATACAAGAACACAGGTAGTGTTTCCTACCCAGTCATGTCTGCCTGGATTGCTGCCCCTTGACAGGAGAAGGTAACATGGTGCATAGATGACTGGATGACTCCATAGCACACTCCCTTGTCAGGGAACACATCGCTATGTGGTGGGAACCTGAGAAGTTGGAAGAAAAAGTTGAACATTGAACAGATATATACAGATCCTCAGCGCCAAACAAACCACCACACAACCACACAGGAAAATAGTCCAACTCGGGATTACCCAAGCGAGCACCGCCACCCATAACCTCAAGCACCATAGTTGAACGTTGAAATCCAGTGAAAACCAGGCTCGTTCCCAAGTGCCTAGTACTGATGTCTTGGAGGCTATTCCTGCAGATGATGCCCGCGAGATGTCCTTATCAGATGGCGCTCATCGTGCTGTCACCTTACGAGTACTTGCGAAACGAGCACGCAAGAGCGCAGATTCTCAACATTTTGTAGGTCGACGCAAGCGGGCCAAGATTGTGGAGCCTGAACAAGTGGTATGTATTTATATTCAAACACACACAAGTCTGACCATCATTTTAAAGACCCGTCCTGATGACGAGCCTCCTCTCCATCCTGATGACGAACCTCCTCTCCCTCCCGACAACGAAACTCCGCTCCCTCCCGAAAACGAACCTCCTCTCCCTCCTGACAACGAACCTTCTCTCCCTCCAGAACATGAGCACCCCAAATTGAGTTGGTACTAGACCGTAGGCCACGACCAAACATTGATATCGACAACCTGGCACGGCTTGCTGTGCTCCAGAAAATGAAAGAAACTACGGAGTTTGTTCTTGCACTCAAGAATGCGTCTTTGGATGATCCCCTTGCCAAGCTTAGTGACGATGCTCCACATAGACTGCGGAATCCGCCACAAGAGCCCATCATTACCAACAGCCCTGGTGTACGTCAGAGCATCTCTATGTACCTTGCGCTTGAACATGGCTCTCAAGAGGTATATAATCGAATGCGGAGAGCTAAGATGCGCAATTTCGAGGGTGCGAATGGTGTTGATGAGATCCTCAGTTTCTACAATGTCGAGAAGCTCATTTCCCAGCACATTGGTGTCGAATCGATCGAGCACGACATGTGCCCAGAGTCATGTTTAGCATTCACGGGCCCGTTTGCTCATCTGGAGAGTTGTCCAATGTGCGGCTCATCTCGATGGGATCAAGCAAAGTTACGAGCGAGTAGTGGAAAAATCAAGGTCGCAGCACAAACATTTGTTACTATCCCACTTGGTCTGCAGCTACAGGCTCTGTATCGTGACCCGGAGAGTGCGCGTCATATGCGATACCTTTGGGAGAGAACTCAGGAGGTTCTAGATGGTCTGAGGCAGACAGGAAAGGTGCCTGTTGTTGACGATATCGCAATAGGGTTTGATATTCTTGGTGCTGTGCTTGATGGTGAGATCAAGCAGGATGACATTGTTCTGATGGTCTCACTTGATGGTGCGCAGCTATACGAGAGCAAGACATCCGATTGTTGGATCTATATATGGGTCATTCTTAATTTATCTCCCGACAAGCGCTACCAAAAACTTCATGTTCACCCTGGTGGCTTTATTCCAGAACCAAATAAACCAAAAAAACGTCGACTCATTTATTGTTGTCGGAATGCATCATCTCGCCGCACTCCAACACGAAGCTCTCACTATTTAGGACGCCTCTCGTAACCACATCGTCAGGTCAGACCTCCATCTCATTTTTACAACAGCAGATGTCCCAGGGCTCGTGTATTGGGATGGGATGGTAGGGCATAGCGGCAAGAACGGATGTCGCATGCATTGTGGAGTGAGAGGGAGGCGTAAAACTCGTGGAACTCATTACTATCCAGCACTTCTGAAACTGCGTAATCGCTGTGTCGAAGGAAGTGACCATGCCGATATTGATGTATTCCCCATCCCACTTGGCGTTGCTGATGACTATGCCAAAAATCTCGAGCTTATCGTGACTGCACCAAGCCAACGCCAATATGAACTCAAGAAGACGGACACCGGTCTCACAAAACCCCCATTAATCCTGGGCCTCAGCCCCCAGCACTGCCTCGGTGTTCCACTCCGTATGACAACCGATATAATGCATCTCGCAGGCAATCTCAGCGATCTTCTTCTTGCTCTCTGGTACGGAACAATGGACTGTGCACCAACAGACAATGGCAACACATGGGACTGGGCTGTCCTTTGTGACGGAGATGGCTGGATTTCGCACGGAAAGGCAGTGGAGGCCGCAGGGCCATATTTTCCAGGCTCGTTTGATCGAAAACCTCGGAATATCGCTGAGAAGATCAATACTGACTACAAGACTTGGGAATTTCACCTATATACTTTTGGCCTTGGTCCTGCGCTACTCTACAACATCCTTCCTGAGCCCTATTGGCTCAACTACTGCAAGCTCGTGCGCGGGTTTCAAATTATGAGTCAGCACAGTCTCACAGCAGAAGAACTTACTGACGCATTTATTCTCCTTGGTACATGGAAGCGAGAGTTTGAGACCCTCTATTATCAGCTCAGAGAGGATCGTTTGCATTTTGTACCCCCGTGTACCCACCAGACTAGTCATCTTGTGACGGAGACAGTTCAGAAGGGCCCCCCAATCCGCTATGCCCAGTGGACGATGGAGCGTACTATTGGGAACCTCGGTCAGGAAATTCGACAACCTTCTCGACCATATGCAAATTTGTCACGACAGGGACTACGACGCAGCATGATCAACACTCCTATCTACAATGCCTGATCTTGACGAACCTCGCAAACATCTTTCAGACACTGCCACTGATCTAGGAAATGGGTATGCACTTCTTCGCAAGCGAGACAGATATGCAAAACTCCCCGTCGGAGAAGAAGCACAGGCTTTGTCTGATTTCCTTGGACCCAATCACCCACTCCCTCGCGTCAAAAAATGGTCACGACTTCTATCACCAAATGGTCAAATTGCACGCTCTGCCTGGAGGGAGAAGCTAATGCCACTCGACAAGACACGAATGTCTCGTCATGTCAAGGTACTATGATTTCTTTCCTATAGTCATATGTCACACTCTAACAATTCAATTTATTTCAGCCATCAATTAATAGGCAAACTCAGTTTGCCGAAGTTCTGTACTATACGAGACTAGCTTTTGCCGAACCAGATGTAGATGATTCAGACGACGAAGCTGGTTACCATTTCCTTAATGTTGCTGTCATTCAAATGTATTCTTCCCCTGACGATCAGCTTCTACGGCTCTCATCCCAGACAGTTGTTTCTTGCTCACTCCTTGACGAAATCTCTGTCATCGATGTCAAGAAAATCATCAGCGTGGTCGCCATGATCCCACATAAACCAAGACTGCCATCAGGCATTATCGAGGATCGCTTTTTCATGCTAGAAAAACCAGAGTTAGACATCGCAAATTTTGGGGCTTCACATAAAAATCTCGGAGATGATGCAGAGGATGATGAAGATGCTGATATCGAGTAGTTGTTGAGGTTGACGCCATTGATATGTTATGGGAGTTCTGCGTCAATGAAAGCTTTTATTGAAGTTCCAGACGTTGAACAAGCAGCAAAGACAATGATCTACAATAATTGGAGTTCTAGACATCGAGCAACGAGCAAGAAATTATGACATTGATCTACAATAATAATCGTACAATGAGTTCTTTACAAGCAACCACAAAAACATCAGGTTCTACGACGCTTTATAGCACACTCGAATATCTCGATCTCTTCGAGCTCTTTACGTTGGCGTTCCTGCTCAGCACGATCTCCTTTGTCAGCCTCGATGGGAATGTTCCTTGCATCGAAGGGGCGCACAATGTATTGCCAAGGCGCGAAGCGATCTTCTGGGTCCGGGTTCGGATTCTGAGTTCGACTTGTGAGGGTGCGACATGGTGATACAATACAAGTCCTATGAGAGTGATGTTAAAAATTCAGATGTCAGTCACAAATATACATGGCAAGCAACCCATTGAGGAACGCAGTCAAAATCATCATCCTCAGATTTGATTTTCACCCCCCACCCCCCCTCAATCCTGGCCTCTTTAGCCTCCGTCTTAAGCAAGCCTTCCTCTGTTTTGAATCCACCTGACGAGAGGATCTCTGAGTCTTTGGTGTCTGAGACAAGCTGAGGAACAGGTTCAGGTTCTTTGAATTGAAGGACAATTTTCTGTGTAACATATATAAAATGTACATCAATGATACGAGTCACCAGAGAAAAATACCTTGATCCCTGGAGTGTTAATGTTAAGATTAAAGCAGTATGTGTTCCAAGACGGAGAGAGGTTGTTGATGTCAACGATAGCAACATCCTCGAGCGTGCTGACAGCGGATACGTCTAACGACATTTGTAACAGGCAGGGGTATCTAATAAAAGCAAAATGAAAGTAACCAACTTAACTTGGGACTTAGACGAATCGACATCTGATCGGAGAATTCCAGCAGGGGACCAAATTATATTATCAAGCTCAGTCAATACACATATTCTCTCTCAGCGTTGTCCTCGACATTCAGCATGTTTTCACTTCAAGGCGACTCAAGTGCCAGTGACAAAAATTTCTATGGTTCTGGTTCACAGAATCCACGACTCGGATGGGGCGAGCTTTATACTCCGTCCCCCCAATCTCCGGGTATGTCATTACATGGTGACCCTTTCACAGATTCGGCTCCAGCGCCATTGCAACGTAATTATCAATTTCATCAAGTGAGTACCAGTATACTTATTTGGCTCACTTATTGTCTCATCGAAATACATTTTAGGGCGCATATATGTATAATAATCAGCAAATGACAGCCTTACATGATCGCTGCAAGGCACTGGAGACTCAGGTCATCAAGCTGACTACTGAGCGTGATACATTACAGTGAGTGTTGTCTGGTCTAAACTTTTTGATCTAATTATCTGTTATAGGGCAAAATTTCAACAGCTTGCCGACCCACTCCAACAGTCTGGAAACCCCCTTGCACTTGATCCCACATTCCCCGCCCAGCTAGGTAGCAATGACGCTAATCGCCCCACGCCTCAAACACATCCAAAAAATCGCTTTTGGACCCAGATCGACTATGTCGAATGGCTCGATACTTCCATGGGCCGACTCTCTGACCGCGGAAAGCTAGGCTACCTCGAGAATGGTGGTCCGATTGCTACAACTATGGTCAAGGATATTCGTAAAGCCCTCCGTGCTGGTTGGTGTGAACTAACTAATCGCAAACTCGCCCCAAAGACATGGGGTGTTTATCTGCCTCTGGACGAAAGCTCATTCACACCCTGATGGATGACGCCTACCCCTTGCTAAAGTTTGCCAATGATGGATGAAAATTGGAGTATCTCGCCAGTACATCATACTCTGCTTGGCGTAGAACCTATCTTTCTGATGACGGAAACTGGATGGTAAGTGTGTCCGCATGACAACAGCCTAATGCTGATTTTTTTATTTTAGCAACTTGTGCCCAACGATGTCTCAAGACATTGAAGACAAACGGAACGACCGAGGAATTTTGTGCTCACTATGGAGATCTCACGCCGACTCAGCGAAAGGTGCGTTGCTACTTTATTCCAGACGTGCGTGCTTTGATTTGTTTGGTACGACAGGCATATGATGACGAGTCAGCGTCACTGGTAAGTAGTTATATTGCCCGATAACTATGAGGTTTGGTCTAATCTAATGCGGGTTGCCAAAAAGTCCTGGAACAAGACCGCTTACGATGGAACGATGTACTAGATCCCGATTTGTACTCCTCACACATGGGCTTCAAGTTCTCACAGACTCCTCGCATATGGACCCCTCTCGGATTCTTATTACTTCCTATTCCTTTCCTGATGCTGTCGCTTTCTAGCCATGTTTTTAGTGTATTCGCGACTCCAGCTTTCTATTACTAGTATCCCATTTCGAGTGTATCAATACCCAGTGCAATGCATATCATTTGTAGTCCCATCCGAGCACATTTACAAGGCAGCTGGTGTGCGCACATATAGTCATATACGGTGCTATTCGAGCATATTGCGAGATAGACCATGCATATGTTTAAATGTGATTAGAAAATATTCGCGCAAAGAAAAACATAAATGAACATCTGCGAGTTTGCCCCGTCTTATTCGAAATGTGATATAAGTTTCACACTGTATATAACATGTGATGAGATCTGTTTTTATTTTGGATCACCGCAAAAATCACATTTCAACATATTTGACAATCAGTGGAGCATTTCCTGCGGAAGAGTTGCCAAGAAGAGGGCGGCTGGACTGCTGAATTGGAGTTGCAGCAGTGCTTCAGAGCTTGTCATATAGTATGCCATGTGGAAAGCAAGCCTCTTGCCTGGCTTGGGCTCTATTGTTTGGCCGCTATTCATTTCCACATCTTACTTGCGATTCCCTAGGACTTCTATTCTGGAATGATCCTCTTTGATCTGGTCATCCTTTCTCCATATCTGTTTTATCTGCATAGCTCTTGCTGATCCTCTGATTCGCCAACTCTATGCCCAACACTGGTCCAGCACTTACTCTCTTTCCGGATTTGAGTCTAAACTCTTGTCAGCTCCACTCCCCCGTCTCTCCTCTGGACTTGAGTTTTAGCTCTTGTCAGCTCCACTTTCCTGATCTTATCCTCCTCCGGGCTTAGGGGTCTAACCTTGGTCAACTCCGCTCCTCTGTTTCCCTTCTGCTCTGGACTTTGCCCCTGTAGCCTTTCCTCTGTTGGTTGCTACTCAGGACAAGTAGTGTTTACATTATCCCCTGTCAAGTGGACGAAACTCCACTGGAGTTTCCTGTGCTCCCGACTCTGGAAGTACACCGGACTTCATCTGGCATGTAAGGGGCAAAGTGCACAAGCCGAGGCTGAGCCCTTCAGACCAGTTTCCTCCCCTTGAGCACCACCTTGCCACCTAGAGGCCAAGATCTATTTATGTGGATCACTTATCCAGATTATGGTTAATAACTTGGACTGCATCAATATCAATAACAGATGGGACGAAACTCCGCTTGAGTTTCCTGTGCTCACCACTGTCGTGTCATTTACACGACACACATGTTCCTTTTCAAGGCCCAACGCCGTGGCTCACTTCATCGCAAGTTGGTTGAAATCCCACATTTGTATGGTCTGCGAGGGTCGACCTGCAGTGGCTTTGGGTGATGTGACGAGGGAAACAAATCTGCTTCCGAGCACATATCCGGTCCAGATATGAGAGTGTGGTGGAGACTTCAAAAAGCGTGTACCTGTGGGACTCCATGTGTCCCAGTTGATAATGTGTCGAGAAGTCCGTGGGGGAAGGGTCATAACATAAGATAACAATATATTCGCTGGTGTGAACAGGTCATACGAAACCTGCTTCTCCTTCTTCTTCTCTTCAACCCAGGTGGTAATGAGGAGAAGTCTTTGTCCACGTGCTATGGAGAAGGGAATGTGTGCCTTTGGGTTAGGCTTCCGCCTTTACATTTTCCCCTGTCAAGTGGACAACACTCCACCGGAGTTTCCTGTGCTCCTGCCTCTGGAAGTCCACTGGTCTTCATCTGGCATGTACTCAGGTAAGGGGCAAACTGCACAAGCTGAGGCTGAGCCCTTCAGACCAGTTTCCTCCCCTTGAGCACAACCTTAACACCCAGGGGTCAAGATCTATTTAGGTGGATCACTTATCCAGATTATGGTTAATAACTCGGACTGCATCAATATCAATAACAGATGGGACGAAACTCCGCTGGAGTTTCCTGTGCTCCTGCCTCTGGAAGTGCACCGGACTCCATATGACATGTACTCAGGTAAGGGGCACAGTGCACAAGCTGAGGCTGAGCCCTTCAGACCAATTTCCTTCCCGAGTTGACAACAACTCGAATCGCTACTACTGGAAATGCAAACATTGGGGCGACACTGATAACTCATCAGGCGCTGGAATCCAGGGTAGTGACAACAGCCTACAGAACCATCCTGTCAGGCGCTGCACCAATGTAACTGCTCCCCTGTGCCAAGCAGCGCGCCTGTTTGTTATGGACAAGACAGGCAACCTCAGCACCCCTGATTCAATTCTTACTTCCGAATTCCGAATTTGCTTCATACGAAAGTTCACTCGCTCGCTTGCTCTCTTTCTCCACCCGATTGTAAATTGAATGAGTTCTCCAGGTTGCGACTTGGAATCAAAACCATCCAAGACCCGTAGTGTACCAGTTACAGCATGATCCCCGATATCACTCTCACGATACAAGTAGCTCCGATAAATGAAGTGCCCTAGAAAACACCCTTGATTTAATTTGTTGGTGTCCATGATAGACTAGAATACACGATAGCAAGCTGTGAGATGAGCAGTGACACTGGCTAGAAGCCAATAAAACCAGCCAGTCTGAGACTTTGATTGTCATCTCAATGACAACCGTAGGTGTTGCAGTGGAGGAGGTGAGCACAGAAGCGCCAAAGCAACACCTTCAAGTTACTGCTGATGGTAAATTTCAAAGTGTTTTGGTGCACGACGGCTCACTCGACGGTAAACACCAACATCCTTAAAGTTAATCGCATCGGAAAACACTTGCAGAATCATCTACAGTTTTTACTGTCATGGGTATATATCAACATCTTATGTTTAGCTCACTTTCATGGCACATCCCACTGACCTGCGACTCTACTCTTCAGAGTGCACAAATACTTCTAGTCGTTCTCCACGTGATCTTGATTCTCCGTCGCCACCATCATCTCTGTTGATCACATTGTTCTAATTCCGAAGCTATTCTAGTATGCTCTACACCAATTGGTATGCATCCCGTCAATATTGGACATCCGTCACCCTCTTGTTTCTGTCGTGGTCATCCAGCCAATCTTCTTCAACTCCTTTAGTTCGGCCTCTTTCTCTGCCAATTCCCTCTTCATCTCAGCTATTTTATGTTCCTCGACGGTTATTACACGTTTTTCTTCTATCACTAAGGTTTCCGCAAGGCATAACCGACCAATGGAGTTGCGGTGCATGACCGATAACTGACCCAGGCAGTTCTTTAAGTGGGCCATACGATCCTGAACGGCCAAGATCTCTCCAGCCAGATCGGTCTCGTCCTCCCAGCTCATGGAAAGGTCTTCATCATCGTGGATATTGTTGCTTGCCGCCGTTGGATTATTGGCGTTGATCTTGCCCATCTCTAGAAGCTCTACATGCTTCTCGAGAAGGGCGAACCAAAGCCGCTCCGATTCCTCTTCAATCTCTTCTAGCTTGACGCTTTCAATCTCCTCTGGCTCGACGCGTTCCATCTCTTCTAGCTCGACGCGTTCCATCTCAAGAAGGCATGCGCGAACATGTTCACGAGATTGCGCACGTGTTCCACGACAGACTGCGTGCGCTGGAACCTCCGTAATGATTTTCCGTCTTGGAGTTCTTGTCTAATACAAGTGAGAACTTGTACCGGTGCACTAAAGACAGCTACGTACCTTTTTTCGTCCTTTATGACGTGCTGAAGGAGCGACCCTCGTCTTACGAGTACGTCTGGTTCTTGTCATGCTCGTTCACTGTATATAGTAGGGGGTGGGCAAGAGGAGGTTCAGCGTGTATGTAGAGCAGACTATGAATGTACAAGACGTCAGTTAATAAAGTAGTTGGAGTGGATGGCTTATAAGCTAATTGTGTGGATTGAACTGTGGTCACCCTAATGTCAATGATTTATTGTCGCGTCCATTCCACCAACCTTCATGTACTATTTTGGTGTCACCCTAATGTCAATGAGTTATCGTTGTGGCCATTCCACAAACCTACATGTACTGTTTTGGCGTCACCCTAAACTCCTTTAGTTCGACCTCTTTCTGTGCCAATTCCCTCTTCATCTCGGCCATTTTATGTTCCTCGACGCTTATTTGATATTCTTCTTCCCTCACTATGGTTTCGCAAGGCATAGCCGACCCATGGTTTTGCGGTGCTTGAACAATAACTTACCCAGGCCGATCACTAAGTGGACCATACGATCCCGAACAGCCAAGATCTCTCCAGCCAGATCGGCCTCGTCCTCCCAGCTCTTGGAAAGGTCTTCATCATCGTGGACATTGTTGCTTGCCGCCGTTGGATCATAGGCGTTGATGTTGCCCATCTCTAGAATCTCTACATGCTCTTCGAGAAGGGCGAACCAAAGCCGCTCCGATTCATCTTCCATCTCTTCTTGCTTGACGCGTTCCATCTCAAGAAGGCATGCACGAACTTGTGCACGAGATTGCGCACGTGTTCCACGACAGACTGCGTGCGCTGGAACCTCCGTAATGATTTTCTGTCTTGGATTTCTTGTGAGAACTTGTACCGGTGCACTAAAGACAGCTACGTACCTTTTTTTGTCCTTTATGATGTGCTGAAGGAGCGATCCTCGTCTTACAAGTACGGCGTTACAATAGCACAGGATACAGTTTCATTCTGTTTGTCTGTCAAGTGTTCGCTATTTGCAGATAATCGCGGACGATGTCTCGATTTGTTCGTGCATCCATGTATCGGTGAGCACATGCCCAAGATTGCATCACACCGAGAGACTAATCGCATCTCCAACAGCCATTTCTTCGGACAGGAAAGAACATGGATATGGCAATGTGAAAGTCTTCAGCATTGCATGGGACATGAATCTCGTCTCCGCCTCTGTGGCAACCACTTTTCCTCTTCACATCCGTCCTTCGCTGATAGAGCCCTCCAGCGATACATCGGCATTAACTAGAATACATCAGGAGATGTCGCATTCGCAATACTTCCACTTTCCTCCCCTTTTGCGACCGTTCCAAACCTCCTGTACAAGCTTCCTGATATTATCCCCCGCGCGCGCATTCACACCGCCCCCGTCCGCGACATTGATTGGTCCCCACATAACGATTCTATCATTGCCTCGGGTGTTGAAGATGACAAGGTCACGATCTGGAAGGTTGAGTCTACCGCTTTCGGAGACTGGGGCTAGGATCATTGGGTACTGGAAGACTCTGAAATGTCGTCCGAATCGACGCATCACCACGCAAAGATCGGCCAGGTTCTTTTCCACCCTACCGCGTCTAATGTCCTCGCCAGTGCATCCAGTGAACACACAGTTAAACTTGGGATCTTGCCGATACAAATCGCTCACGCCCTGTCCTCACTGGCCACGATGATACCATTCACGTGTCTCACCTTCAATTCTATATGGGAAACGGGGGGTCTTGGAAGTGTCAAGATGATGGCTATTGATTAGTCTGCTGGTATCATTATGCCTTTCTGGAGTGAAAATGACATTCTTTTTTTGGGTGAGCGCCTCACACGCGCCTAGGACTCGTCTTTTCTCATAACGCGGAAGGCCGCACGCGGCAGAGCCCGCTACGGTCGCTTTTCGAGCCAGAACGTCAATCGATTGCAACAAATATCGTAGAGATCAACTTAATCCAGACAAGTCGCTTCGAGTGCTACAAATATAAGTACAAGTTAAGATCAACTCAGAAGAGTCGCAACCCAGGCGAGCCGTGAGACGGAGGCGAGTGTTACAACGAGACGGAGGCCAATGCTACAAATACAGTGGATGGTGAAAAGGTGCAAGTCAACCTAAACGAGTCGTGAGATGGAGGCGAGTGATCAGGCGAGTCGTGAAACGGAGGGGTCAGTCAGTCCTTTTTTTTTCTCTTTCCCTTGTACTTTTGTCCGAACGCTAAATCGCGATGAAGGAGATCCACAAGAACCTGTACTTAGGTGTTAAGATATACCTTGTCGTAGATCTTCCACAGATGATTTCGAGAATACCTGAAGGCCGTGAGCAATTGCCAATTCATTCAAAGCTGTTCTAGACAATTTTTCATAGCCACCAAAAAATTATCAACAGTAACAACAGAAGAACCCGCTTGGGTAGCTGAAACTTTTTCTCAGTCTGTAACAATAGAAGACAACGGAGAGCAAAGATTCTCTATAAACAGTCATTCAGACATGTGTGAATGATTAGCGCTGATACACATACCTTTAGGCTGAAAATTCCAACTATGACCACCAGAAAGTCGACCGACGTCCGTTTCTGAAGGCCTTTGGAGCCGAGAACCGTCGTACTTCGCGTTCACAGACGCGAGCCAATCACAACCGAGGTCTACATCGCATCCGCTCAGATAGACGGGTCGAAAGGTTTGTTGGGAATTGTACCATCCGTCCACAGTAGGAACGCGCACCGGCCCAAGAGCAGACTCTACAACCACTCCGTGACGATCGGAAACAGTTCGCGGCACATTGCATTGCAATCATGCAGAAAAGACAACGACACGGTCGAATCAAGACTCGCATCATTGACGCGAACAACAGCAGGAATGTCAGCGAAAGATCCAAGGACTTTATAAGAAGACATAGACATAAGTAGTCAAAGACTAGAAAATCAGATCAATGTGCGCAAACGGAGCAAGCGTTCAGGACGGTGCGAAACAAACACCTCAAACAGACATAAGTCACATGACTAACATGTTTAGGGCCGGATCATTGCGTTTTTACGCCAAAAGTGAAAAGATGAGGTTTTTTAGAGGATGACATCGGCAAAACCCACTACTGCCGTAGCGGGAATATCATTGCTCCCAGCTGGCACAGGGTAAGGTGAAACCGGATGCCTTTGTTAAAATAAATTCAACAGCGATATAAATATCCGGTGTTACGAGTACAAGAGCGACTCGCTATCCGCGTTAGCAGGACACAAATCTCCAGATCCCCTAACTCCCTGATGGCGCACACTCCCCACTGGTGCGCACTCTGATGGCGCACAGCCCAAGTCAGCTCCATGCTCTTCAGAGTAGAATATTAGTACTATATAATCCTTGGTCAGAGTGCTGTGGCGAGTGCGAGCAAGATGATGATTGAGAAGCAAGGAGTTGATAAGCCAAATAAAGATCAGCCCCTGGCCTTTGTGATGGATTGCACTGGAAATTAAAATCATGATGCAACATGGCTTCGATATCAGAATCATGTGGGGGTTAGTCCAACTGAGACATAAGAGAACATGCAGTGTCTGTGGAATTAAAATATGAATTCATGGTATTGGTATCAAAATGTTCTGGTATTGTTTCAAGACGGTATCATAGGGAAAGGATAAGGTATACCTTGAAGGACGCGTCACGAGACGCGGTTATATAGCTCATCGAATTGATCGGTCGATGTGCGTCATCGCTCAGTATGGAAACACTTCAGTTTTTCATCGTCACATCACTTGCAGGCCATAGTATATGAAACATGAGCTATGTTGTTATTTTGTTAATGTACGTATCTAGGAATATTCTACAGGCAATAGGGTTACTTAGGGTTTCTCTGGTCGATGCAAAGATTCAGTGAGATTTGAAGTCCCTATACAAAAATTCCATTAAACGTGTCTTTTCTTTACAATACCTCCGATCAGGACTACTGAAGTCTGACACCAGCTTGGTAGGGGGTGCAAGAAGGTGTTGGGGTTCGGCATTGGCCGAACGCACGCCTCTTGTTCAAAACATTGCAACACTGTCTGGTATGTAATTACAAGGTATGGGTCTGCTGAGCATGATGGCGAAGCAGTGAGACAGGGCGGCAGTAGATTACGGTCCGTACATGGGATGTAGGCATGCACGACTTGAAGCTGGTGGCAACACATCGTAAAGCAGAAGAATTGAGAGTCTAATTACGGTAGCGCACTAGCATATCATGATCGTGTTGTTTCAGTATAGGCCCTAATCCTTGCACCCCCTCCGGCCAGTCAATAGCGGGAGAGATGGATACAGGGTATGTGACCTCGCCTTCGCGTCCAGCCCAGTCGAAATCGATCAATTGCACTTTTCCGTCCTTCGTGATCATGACATTCGGCTTCCGGAGATCACCAAACACGAATCCCTTCCCGTGACAGTACTCGATTGCATTCGTGAGCTCTTGGTGAAAGCTGGGAGGCAGTTGCGGTGAACTATAGGCCGTCGGTCCGTCCACATATTCCATCACTACCATCCGCAGCCCGCCATATGATGGCATCCCCTCCACGACATCAATTTTTCCGTAATACAGGAGCTTCGGCGCGAACCCAGCTTCTGCCATCGCCTTGTGGACGTCCTCGCCGTACCTGGTGACGAACTTTACAACGACATTGATCGGGTTGTCCTCCTTCGTCTTCGCCAGGTAAGTCACACAGGAAGCATCGCGTTCCAGGGACCGCTCATATTTGAATTGCACGGGAATCTTGTCGTGTAGATAGGTATCTGGGGTTGGATAAAAGCGAGGGTGTACAGTAGGATAGGATGCATTGTACGGCCGCTCAATGCATTGCAAGACATTTTTATACCAGTCTGTGAGCCGCACAACCGATTCCCTAAGTGCATACAGGACGCGCCCAATTCGAAGAAACTGGCCATCATCGAGTGCAGAGCGGTCTGGGATCCAGATGAAGTCCGTAAGCCGTTGGACTATATACTTCTCCGTGAAGACCGCGCCCAGAACTGCTAGCCAAGGTCCAGCATGAGCAACCAAGAAGGCAGGGCAATTACACTTTGAGCGAAGATCCGCGTGCTATGTGACGAACATCAGTGAGGAGAGTAACGCGCATCAGAGTGCCGAAACATTGCACCTCGCGAGTTATATGTACAAATGAGAATGACGCCTGGACCGAAGGGTCTGAACCTCCATCTCCAAACTCGTTCTTCTCCTCAACTACCATGAGGTGTATCGGAATGTTTTTATGAGGATAGAGCGCTACAGCATCGGGAATACATTTGCCACGACGACTTTTCACGTGAAGCAAAGGTTGTTGGATCACCTTCTCCAGCAGAGAAGTAACATTTTGTTGGCGGTCATCCTCGCTGGCATGGATAGCTGCAAATTTAGTCATGAGCTTCTGAATGTCACGCAGTGTCTCATCGGGTACAGCGTATTCAGGATCGAACGCTTTGCTTGAGAAGTAAGCGAATGCCGGGTTGAACAACTGTATTGGTGGTGCACTCGTATCGGCTGGCTTTTCGCGAGCGTAGCGACCGTCGTATATTTTGGTGGGCCCGCCCTGTATAGTGCAATATTCTTTGGATTTAGCAGCTACTGACGCAGGGGGATAGCTTAAGTGAAGAGCGTTCTTGAACTCTTCGTGTGGAATACATTTTGAGCGGCGAGTCAAAAACCAGGCGGTGTAGTCTCACCTTTGTTGAGCTCCGCCATATAATCGGTTAGGCCTTGCATACTCCTGTCTCGTGCAACGGCAGGATGTTGTACGATGACATGAATACATCCACACTCTACTCCATCCGTGAACACTTCGGACAGTTTGGTTAACGGCTTCAACTCCACGCCTTCATCTCTGATCGCGTTGAGTAAGTGTGGGTCGTTCAAATTGATCTTGACCTTCCAAAATATCAGATCGTCGACATCCGATGGTAGGTATCAGATCACTCACCTTCCATAGCTTGAGAGCCTTAGCATCAACACCATCGAATTCATGCTTATTCTGTTCTTTGATAGCATTTTGGAGGGCACTGACGCTCTCTGTCGGTGCAATCTTGATCTCAAATACATGGAGAGGATCATCACCCAAGACAAAGCAGTTGAGGTGGAGCGGTTTAGAAGACACTAAGTCAGATCGCGATCAGTAAGGAGGAAAGGGTGGCAATATCAAAAGACAACTCACCGGCAGGTGGGCCTTCGATAACAATATGCAGGTGTTCATCCTCAGGTATTTCAGAGAAAACTTTCTGCAATTTCGTCACAGGTGATAGGGATTTCATTGTGCCAAGTGTAAGACTGCTAAGACTGTGCTCGATCATCTCATCGACAGGCAGGTCGACCTTCCAAAATATCATATTATCAGCACCCAATCGTAGGTATCAGATCACTCACCTTCCATAGCTTGAGAGCCTTAGCATCAACACCATCGAATTCATGCTTATTCTGTTCTTTGATAGCATTTTGGAGGGCACTGACGCTCTCTGTCGGTGCAATCTTAATCTCAAATACATGGAGAGGATCATCACCCAAGACAAAGCAGTTGAGTCTGTACATCTGACGTTGAGAACAAGGGTAATAGTGTATTGAGCAGTGAGTGCTGCACAGTGCAGCTAACAAAGCCAAGCAGCCACACCACGTGACCGCGGCACTGACGCCCAGTGAAGGCATCGGACTACGTCAAGATTTCCCACTAGGGGTTCGCCGTGCGAACTGATGACCTTGCTCCGATTGCAATTTCTCAAGGATATTTGTACATGTGTACGCTTATTGTTCCTCGCTCTTTCGCGCTGCTTCAACCAACCCAAAAAGACATACGCAATACATTCAATCGATAAGGCTTTCTTTGAAGCAATTTATTAGGTTGGTCTTCAGCTTGTTCGATGTTGTCTTCAGTTTGGTCGTAACAGCTTTTGATCGTGTTTGACACACTGATTAAAACGTCGTATCAGTACGAATCTTCAACAAAACCAAACACACAAACGTGGTCAAACAGACAAATGTGGCTTTGGAATCGCGGACTACGGTAATACATTCAATACTGCGTCTTCAAGTTGTACTCAGTCTTTGGCCAAGCAGAGGTGTATTGAACCCTATCGGTGTTGACAACGTGTTGATGGTACATGTTCAGTGGTATTCAGTAGGGCGTAAAGGTGTCTCTGTAATTTTGTACTTGATTGGTATGGCACGCATGATTGGTCAGGAACGCGTGAGGTTGGTGCAAAAACGCGTGATTGCACAGCATGATGTTGATGTCAGGTGACTGACAGATTAGCCCAACAACATCATGACCTTGCTCCGCAAGGTAACTCTCAATTTTCAAAGGACGTACGTCAGACTGGTCACGAGTCTAATCGGACATTGCGAGGGCTAGTGAGAGCGTGCGAGAGTATTACGCAAAGTGCCAGATCATGTAGATCTAGTTTTTTCTGGTGAGCGGCGAGCGCAGCGCATGCAAAATTTGCAATTGCAAATGTTACTAATGCATGCACTTCGCGCAAACTTTTGCAGTCCTCGCAATCATCTAGCAACTGCATGTCCACAACGTTTACATTTGCCATCTGCTGCTTGCATGTGCATTGTGCAATGCGCGAAGTAACAAATATTCAAGTCTAAACTCAGTTTTCATGTCATCAACACCTCTCTTGTTCCCTTATCGTCATGTTCCTCTGGTACAACGGCATCGTAGCCAGCCAGTAACCTACTCAAGCTCTGGTCCTAATGTTCTGAGTCGGGGAGGGTGGGTCACCCTAGGGCGGCGCACCATCAGGTGCGCACCTATAATCAGGTTAGGTGCGCGCATATAACTCCCATGTGAAGTTCTAGTTGATAGGTGCGCACCTGACAGCGCGCCGCCCTAGGGTGACCCACCCTCCCCGACTCAGAACATTAGAAAATAGTGCTATAATTTAAGTACAAGAATTACTGAAAATCCACTGGACTTTTCCTGGCGTTCAGAAAATTAGAACGCGAAAAACGGCATTCAGACTGCAGTGGAAAAAAGGCGGTCAGTGAAGGACATGGGATGAAGTTTGGATGACTCACATCAACAAGAAAAGTGGTGTCTTCGCCACATATGGCATCTGTAAATGTCAGTTCTTCAGGGGAGCGAGGAGGAGGAAGTGTGTGCGTGGTAATAGAGTAATGAAGGCTTGTACGGATTGTCTTAACAGACACCTTATCCTTCACGACGCACATGTCCCTTTTCAACATCCAACGCCGCGGCTCGCTTTATCACAAGTTGGTTGAAATACCACGATGCAGTGGTGAGCTGGCTTTGTGCACTGTCCTCCATGCGAGCTACAGCCAATTCAATGGCATACTGGGTGGTAGTACTTTCGTGTATTACCGAGCGGAGAAATTTGCATACCTAACAGTATGAGGTGTAAGTATGTCTACATGTATTAAGCACGAGATACCGGCGGCTCGGGCGCTATGGTGTCCACCACGTCATGCCGTGTTGTTCTGCGCTCATGATTTTGTCTCCTTTTTACAGCTCTTTGTTCATTGCCATCATGGCGTGGTTGGACCAGCAATACCATTCGGAGGAATTACCTTCATAATTTTCGGCATGCAGGCCCCATTGTCAGTCAGTGGAGCAGTAGAGACAGCCACTCTGGCAGCGTCGGCAAAGTCATCAGCGCTATGGAATAGCATTCGCATCTTGACTCTCAACACTGTAATTCACAGCTTTCGTGGACGGGATTGGTGAAGACTGCTCCGGAAATCGACAGAATCTCGCACTCATAGCAGCGACCACAAACTTCGACGATACTATTAACTTCCTCTTCCCGCCACATGTGCTCGAAGACGCCGAGACGTGTCTTCAGCGCGCATTCCTCTCCCCTCTCAATATCTATGTCGACGAATTTAACGACAAAATTCTAGAGAAATTGCCTGGCGATTTTCGTAAGTAATCCAGACAGACATCATCCACACATTCTATTGACGGGACATAGAATCTTATTTCAGCTTGGACAGCCTGAAAGAAGCCGACCGCACACCATTTAATACACCAGAACACACGCCGGACTGTCTCGCAATGTTGACCCATCCTGGAATATCTCCTCATCTCCTGGATCTCAAAGAAAACTGCATTTGCGCCATTGAGCGGAACCTCTCGGTAGAAAGGGATTGGTCAGAAACGCGCGCGCGCGTGTGATTGCACTGCATCGTCGGTTCGTCGAAGTGCAACTACTCAATACAATGGAAAGCCACTGCATTCCCCGCATCGACTTCTCGTTCCATCCAAACCGTTCATCCTGGACAGTAAATTTCCTCTATGACTCGCATATGCAACTACTTTTAATGGTTGTCAAGGACTGACGCTAGGAAGAACGGTGCTCGACTTGCGAACGGATCCTTCTGCTCACGGTCAATTGTATACAGCATTGTCGAGAGTGAGAACGCGAAGAGATACATTGTGTCTATTTGCAGATGCAAACGAAAGACAAGAATGTGCTAATATTGTATTTCCCGACTTGCTACTGTGACGATCATGTATCTAATAACGATCATGTATCTATTCACACAACTCAATTGCCATCACTCGCATCTCATTACTGTGAACACAGTGTATCGTACAAAAGCCGACCGAAGGCGAGTCCTTGTAAGTACTAAGGTAGATATACGGGCCATGGAAAACCTTACGAGTCTGCATCTCAACAAACTCCTCCAATCTAGGTTTGACAAGAACTTTGTCAAACTTAGATAGGTGAACTTTGTCAAGCCTAGATTGAGACAGTACAGTTGTTTAGACAACCAAGCTAGACACCTTTTCACTAGCTTCTGGTGATTGGGATGGCGAAGGAGCTACTGCAAAGACAGGCGGGGGTAATTGTTGGTTATTGTGTATTCCTGGTGGTGATGGAGGAAACTGATGCGAGCCCTCTGAATCTGAAGGTGGCGATGGTGAGGCAGGGTTTGCTATATCTGGGGTATCTGTTTCTCAAGTATTTTGATATAGCCGCAGACATATGACCAAAGTTGCTCACCTCGAGGCTGGCCATCAATAACTTGGCTGGATCATCGTTGTAAGAACTATCTGTACATGTGATCTTGGCAGTCGGTTTTATAGGATGAGAGTCCGTTGCGGAGTAGGTCGTGGTGGCGCTGTCGTCCACAATATATAATTAATACATAGCTTACCAAATATAGTAAGTATCTGTCATTCGCCGCCGGCGTAGCAGCCCATCCACCATCTGCACATCAGCCTGATCAGAGTTTTTGAAACACGGATGATTTCGTTGCTTGGTTTCAATACAATGATGGGGTCTTGGATACTTCGATGATGGGCATCACCAATTTCCCTGGCAGTGGACGTGGTGCAGTCGCACTCCAGGATGCCTGAAGAAAAAAAAATGAGCGAAATTTATGGGGGGCGTAGTGAGATAGGCATATACCTATAGAAAATTAAGCAAGAAATATAAATAAAAGTGATATAAAACGCACTTTAGATGCGCGAGACAGCACACTCAATGCCATCTTTGCATAAGGATGTACCTGTGGAACGATACCAGTCCATTACTGATGAGGAAGAGAGGGGTGGTACCTCCGCGACTTTCCCAATCACAGTGTCGAATATCCTGAGGGGTTGAAGATATGTTGTCTCTATATCGTCCATATCATCAAGAGTTGCTGGTGGATATTGGCCTGCGGATGCTCCAGATCTTGCAGGTCCCAAAAGTGCATTCATCTGATCTGCGGCATCAAGGGCATCCTGAAGTGCCGTGTCCACCGACTGGGGATCAGCGCCTTGTTTCACACCCGATGGTGTATCCTGAACCTGTGCGATCGTCAGAAGTTAAGAGAGAAAGTGAAAACTAGAAGGTGGCCTTACCTCGATATTCGAAGTCAACCAGGCAGGTTCGCGATCAACGTTCAGGAGAACAAGCTCGCGGCTGCACACATTCTTCGGGTTCGAGCGCTTGTGTAAGATCTCAGCCCGATCCCAACACAATTCGATATCTCGACTTACCGAAATTTTCGTTACACCATCTTTAACCTTCCCCAGAAACCGACGAACTTTGTTTGGCGGTTGGACCTAGACAGATGGAACATCAGAGTCAGTGTTGGATTCAGAGAGTGCGATAAATAGGTGTTGCACATACTAAGCAGCGTATTGAGCTTGCGCTAGCAACTGCTGTGGTGTCAGGAGGAACTGGGCCCGAGCCCTTCGATTGATTGCTGTGGCTCATGGCGAATGGGTAAGGAAACAGCCTTCGGTGACAAAAGTAAAGGGGTACGAACCTGGACGCTCCCTGTCCTTGATCGTATTCTGGAATCTTCGCTGACTTTTGAAACGATTGAAGAAAATGTCTTCTTGCCAGCTAGCGATTTCGCAGTCAGTTACTTCCTATGATACGAGGATGGAAGTACGTACTCTCTGCTATCTTGTTGAAACCATCTTGGAATTCTGCCATAGCGTCCTGTCCCGGTGGAGCAGGCGCCTGCACCACACTGATATACCTTCCAGTTTCATCTCCACCTACCCGGGCGCCAGTAGTTCTGTGCAGCCTGCTTCTCATCGAGCATGAGATGCCGGGCGGGTTGCCCGTCTAGGTCAGTCTGAGTAGGCTCACGCTGCTCCGTGATGTTGTGCGTGACTAGACGCAGTAGATAGATCCCTGGCCTCTATGTTGCTGGAAGATGACCGGGCCTAACTGAGATCACGGGCAAGGAATTCATACAAATCAGCCGCCGCGGGGATCAGATTGTCTGTGGGAGCACCAGGGAGCGATACCAACTCGGGCTGCCATTCTCCAAAGCCCAGCGTCTCACGTCTACTATATTCCTTGTTAAACTCATTGATGGCGGAGAACAACGAACGTTGCGAGACCCAAGCAGGCAAGTAACGATATCGGGCTGAACAAGATTGTCACAACTCTGACCGCTGATCATGCCGGACTCACTTGGAGTATATGGGGAAAGGCCTCCCAAGGGAGAGGATGCGCCCCGAGATGGCTCTACTCCAATAGAAGACGAAGGCCCGGCGATATGTTCAGATGATTGATGGGCATGACCAGAACCCAAGTAACCATCCCGCCCTGGGGAGGTAAGTAGCGTGCCTGATATTGCCTGCTGGTGAGGTAACCCAACGACGGGGAGTTCACCTCCTCCAGGAACAGACGGAGCAATCGGGCGTGCTCCCAGGTTCAACGACTCTGACATATTGAGAGTTGGACTAGACAGAGGCAGGAGCAGAGGCGGAGGAGATATGCAGATGCCCAAGTCCAATGGCTCTGATGAGGGGGGATGAAGAAAATGATGTGGGAAGAGTTGGTTGATCACGCACCCGTGTCCTCTGAGTTAACAGAGCTTGCCGTGGTGGCACCACTCGGATGAAGAACGAAATTGAGTTCTGTAGTCAAGATATTGTTCAGAAGGACAAGAGGATGCACACAAGGTGGATAACTCACCTGAACACATCATCCAACACGATGTCTCCGTCCTCCTGATATCCGGATCGGGTTGACCCGGGAACGAAAATCACTTGAGATGATGACGATGACGAGTGGCCAACCTCCATTTCCATAAAGGCACCCAGATGTTCAGCAAATTGCAGGACATGATCTATTGGAGTGAGTGCCACTAACGAGCTCGACTCGAAATGGCCGAAACGCTATCTCGGTGGATTAAACCTTAAATCGTCTTGTTACATACCAGTGACCACGGCCCGCCGGGCATCCCAGGACCCTTCTTTGCCTTTTCTTTGCGTTCATTTTCAGTCTTGATTGTCCCTACATTAACCCTACTCAATAACAGTTGATTTCTTCAGTTTATTTGCCAGTTATCGGAAATTTCTAATGTTGGTTGGCATGCGTTAAAATGGATTGCACATCGGGGTTATCAATATTTAGGAGAGGTTTATATGTTGTACAAAATGTGAAGAAAATATTTGAAATTTAAACCAAAATAGAACTGGGTACACAACTTCAAAATTTGGTGGTGTTTTGCATGTAATCCAACATATCAAGTATCCGCAACCATATTCCCATGGACAATATGTCAGCAAATACAAGAAATATAATCAGACTCCATATGGCTGCTTTAATTTAAAGTCTTATCTTCACATAAAACTTTAGGCAAAACTTGAAATGTAGACATTATCTCATCTAAACTTCAAGTTTAAATGGGGGACAGTGTCTAAACTTCAAGTTTAGACAGGACAATGTTTAAATTTCAAGTTTTGTCCCATGTTATATGTGAAGATAAAACTTAAAATTAAAGCAGGCATATAAAATCTGATTATATTTGTAATATTTGTTGATATATTGTCCGTGGGAATATGGTTGCAGATACTTGATATGTTGGATTACATGCAAAACACCACCAAATTTTGAAGTTGTGTACCCAATTTGATGATGGTTTAAATTTCAAATATTTTCTTCACATCTTGTACAACATATAAACCTCTCCTAAATATTGATCACCCCGATGTGTTGGAAGGCCGCACATTAATGTGCCAGTGGCATTCACCTGATGGCACCATCTATAAAACTATATTACTAATTAGTAACTAGTCCAACACCCGTTGTGCCTTCCGCACAGGAAGCAAAAGGAGCACTTCATGCTCCTGTGTAGCTTCCTGGCCTTGGCTTCATCCTAATAGTCACTGTGACTTTGGCACAGGAAGGCAAAGGAGTGCAAAGCACTCCTTCGGGAGGTGCCTGTGACACCTTGACTTACTAATAATTATAGTAGATTTGAAAAAGAATTACAATTTTGAGCAGTATTCAATTGACAAAACTAAAATTACATAATATATAGTTAATCAATCATCAATAGGATCTGAGGCCTCTGAACAGTTTATACACTACATTGATGTTTGAGTCAACTGCAAGCTGAACAGAGAATTGGTGAGCTTCATCAACTCCATCCCTAAGGCTCCCTGGCTGCATCCTAATATTCATAGACCACATTAAAGTAGACAATATGATATAAATGAATTGTACTATCTGACCATTTTCCCTGACCCCCATCCTCCTGTCTGGCGTCTGCTGTCTGCTGTCTGCTGTCTGCCATCTCCCATATCCCACATATCCTGTTCTCCTGTTTCTCCTATCTTCCCAATCACCCATTATCCAGTATTTCCTACAACACAGCCAAAGTCAAGGTAAGACTACATGTCTGGGTTAGAGTCACTACAAGACAAGCAAACACAATACAACACGCAAGACTACAACAGCAACAAGACAGACAAAATCAAGCAATAAAACAGTAATAAAATCACAAAATCAAGCAAAATGAAGTCAAGTCAAAATGAGATCCTGTCCTCGCCCAACGCATCACCCCCCAGACAACCACTAAGACACGCGTACGATAACCAAGACCAGTCAAGACAAGGGCCGACTCAGAGCAATACTACAGCAGGCAAGCAAATACAATACAACACGCAAGACTACAACAGCAACAAGACAGACAAAATCAAGCAAATTCAAGCAATAAAACAGCAATAAAACAACAAAATCAAGCAAAATGAAGTCAAGTCAAAATGAGACCCTGTCCTCGCCCAACACAACACCCCCCAGACAAAGACAGACAAAATCAAGCAAAGTCAAGCAATAAAACGGCAATAAAATGACAAAATCAAGCAAAATCAAGCCAAGTCAAAACCAGATCCTGTCCTCGCCCGACGCATCACCCCCCCGACAAGAACTAAGATACGCGTACGATAACCAAGACCAGTCAAGACAAGGGCTGACTCAAAGCAATACAACAGCAAGACCGCAAGAAAAACATCAATCAAGACAGATGCAACAACAGAGATAATAGCAGACATGCACGCCAACACCATTTCTCATAGAAAAGACCAGAATCACAACAGTCGCATAATAGCATACGCGTACGCTAAATGACAAGAATCACGATAGTCACCGCAACAGACATAATAGCAAACGCGTCGCCCCAGACAAGCAAGACCGCAACAGAAATAAGACAGCCAAAGTCAAGCAAGGTCAAGCAATAAAATCACAAAAAATCACAAAAATGAAGCAAATTGAAGTCAAGTGAAAACGAGATCCTGTCCTCGGCCCGCGCATCACCCCCCCAGACAAACACCAAGATACGCATACGACACAAAAGACTAGGAAATCAAAGAAAAAACCACAAATCAAGCAAAGTCAAGCAACAACACAGCAGCAATAAAGCAAAAATAAAGCAAAGACGAAACAACGAAAAAAACAAGAAAGACTATGATAGCAATAAAACCACTAACCCGCCGGTTAGCTCTCTCGGTTGTCTCGTCTAAAAACGTATTCTCTCGGTGACTCGGTGTCTCGGTTAGAGTCAATACAAGACAAGCAATACGATGCAATACTCAAGACAAGGGAAAATCAAGCAAAGTCAAGGCAAGACTACAATACAATACGCAAGACAAGGAAAAATCAAGCAAAGTCAAGGTAAGACTACAATACCAAGACCATCCCATACCATACACAAGACCGCCGCAGCAATAAAATCACACAAAAATCACAAAAATCAAGCAAAACCAACTCAAGTCGAAACAAGGTCCTGTCCTCGGCCCGACGTATCACCGCAGACAAGCGCTAAGATACGCGTATGATAAGCAAGACCACTACAGGACAACACAGCCAAAATAAAGCGACGCAAATGCAAGAAAAAAGCAAAAACGAAGCAAAATGAACCCAAGACAAAACGAGACCCTGTCCTCAGCCCAGACTATGATAGCAACACGATCTCATACCATACGCAAGACTACGATACCAAGACCATACGCAATACCACCACAGCAATAAAACAGCCAAAATCAGGCAACATCACAGCAATAAAATGGCACAAAAATGACAAAAATCAAGCAAAGTCAAGTCAAGTCAAAACGAGATCCTGTCCTCGGCCCACGCATCACCCCAGACAAGCGCTACGATAAGCAAGACCATCAAATAGCAATCGAAGCATCCGCCCTCCAATAAACGCACGATAAGCAAGACCACCGCAGCGACAACAACACAGCCGAGATCAAGCAATACGAAAGCAAGAAAAAAGCAAAAATCAAGCAAAATCAAGGCGAGATGAAACGAGATCCTGTCCTCGGCCCACGCGTCACCCCAGACAAGCGCTACGATGAACAAGACTACGACAGTGATAAAACGCCTGAAATCAAAGAAAGTCAAGCAATAGAACATCAAAAAATCACAAAAATCAAGCAAAATGCAGTCAAGTCGAAACGAGATCCTGTCCTAGGCCCACGCATCACTCCAAAGACAAGACCACCGCAGCAACATCACAGCAAAAATCAAGCAACGCCCCAGCAACAAAACGTCAAAAATCAAGCCAAATCAAGTCAAGTCAAAGCAAGGTTCCGTCCTAGTCCGACGCATCACTTCAGACAAGCGCCACGATAAGCGCACGATAAGCAAGACCATGAAATCAAAGACAGGCCACAAATCAAGAAAAGTCAAGGATCAGACTACGATAACGCACCACAGTCAAGACAAGGACAAGAGACGCAACAGACTACGACACGATACAACACAATACAAAACGATCCGACAGACTACGAGACACGACACACTATACTACAATCGATACAAGACAAACATCCGATAAGCATAACAAGGGAATATGCGCAGTTAGGTTCAACCACCACGTTAGAGTTTAGGGTTCAACCCCACCCCCCCACCCGTTAGAGGGTTAGTTAGGTTTCAACCACCACGTTAGAGTTTAGGGTTACCCCCCACCGTTAGAGGTTAGTTAGGTTTCTCGTTGTCTCGTCTCAAAACGTGTTCTCTCGGTGTCTCGGTGTTAGTGTTAGAGTCACTACAAGACAAGCAAACACAATACAACACGCAAGACTACAACAGCAACAAGACAGGACAAAATCAAGCAATAAAACAGTAATAAAATCACAAAATCAAGCAAAATGAAGTCAAGTCAAAATGAGATCCTGTCCTCGCCCAACGCATCACCCCCCAGACAACCACTAAGACACGCGTACGATAACCAAGACCAGTCAAGACAAGGGCCGACTCAGAGCAATACTACAGCAGGCAAGCAAATACAATACAACACGCAAGACTACAACAGCAACAAGACAGACAAAATCAAGCAAATTCAAGCAATAAAACAGCAATAAAACAACAAAATCAAGCAAAATGAAGTCAAGTCAAAATGAGACCCTGTCCTCGCCCAACACAACACCCCCCAGACAAAGACAGACAAAATCAAGCAAAGTCAAGCAATAAAACGGCAATAAAATGACAAAATCAAGCAAAAATCAAGCCAAGTCAAAACCAGATTCCTGTCCTCGCCCGACGCATCACCCCCCCCCGACAAGAACTAAGATACGCGTACGATAACCAAGACCAGTCAAGACAAGGGCTGACTCAAAGCAATACAACAGCAAGACCGCAAGAAAACATCAATCAAGACAGATGCAACAACAGAGATAATAGCAGACATGCACGCCAACACCATTTCTCATAGAAAAGACCAGAATCACAACAGTCGCATAATAGCATACGCGTACGCTAAATGACAAGAATCACGATAGTCACCGCAACAGACATAATAGCAAACGCGTCGCCCCAGACAAGCAAGACCGCAACAGAAATAAGACAGCCAAAGTCAAGCAAGGTCAAGCAATAAAATCACAAAAAATCACAAAAATGAAGCAAATTGAAGTCAAGTGAAAACGAGATCCTGTCCTCGGCCCGCGCATCACCCCCCCAGACAAACACCAAGATACGCATACGACACAAAAGACTAGGAAATCAAAGAAAAAACCACAAATCAAGCAAAGTCAAGCAACAACACAGCAGCAATAAAGCAAAAATAAAGCAAAGACGAAACAACGAAAAAAACAAGAAAGACTATGATAGCAATAAAACCACTAACCCGCCGGTTAGCTCTCTCGGTTGTCTCGTCTAAAAACGTATTCTCTCGGTGACTCGGTGTCTCGGTTAGAGTCAATACAAGACAAGCAATACGATGCAATACTCAAGACAAGGGAAAATCAAGCAAAGTCAAGGCAAGACTACAATACAATACGCAAGACAAGGAAAAATCAAGCAAAGTCAAGGTAAGACTACAATACCAAGACCATCCCATACCATACACAAGACCGCCGCAGCAATAAAATCACACAAAAATCACAAAAATCAAGCAAAACCAACTCAAGTCGAACAAGGTCCTGTCCTCGCCCGACGTATCACCGCAGACAAGCGCTAAGATACGCGTATGATAAGCAAGACCACTACAGGACAACACAGCCAAAATAAAGCGACGCAAATGCAAGAAAAAAGCAAAAACGAAGCAAAATGAACCCAAGACAAAACGAGACCCTGTCCTCAGCCCAGACTATGATAGCAACACGATCTCATACCATACGCAAGACTACGATACCAAGACCATACGCAATACCACCACAGCAATAAAACAGCCAAAATCAGGCAACATCACAGCAATAAAATGGCACAAAAATGACAAAAATCAAGCAAAGTCAAGTCAAGTCAAAACGAGATCCTGTCCTCGGCCCACGCATCACCCCAGACAAGCGCTACGATAAGCAAGACCATCAAATAGCAATCGAAGCATCCGCCCTCCAATAAACGCACGATAAGCAAGACCACCGCAGCGACAACAACACAGCCGAGATCAAGCAATACGAAAGCAAGAAAAAAAGCAAAAATCAAGCAAAATCAAGGCGAGATGAAACGAGATCCTGTCCTCGGCCCACGCGTCACCCCAGACAAGCGCTACGATGAACAAGACTACGACAGTGATAAAACGCCTGAAATCAAAGAAAGTCAAGCAATAGAACATCAAAAAATCACAAAAATCAAGCAAAATGCAGTCAAGTCGAAACGAGATCCTGTCCTAGGCCCACGCATCACTCCAAAGACAAGACCACCGCAGCAACATCACAGCAAAAATCAAGCAACGCCCCAGCAACAAAACGTCAAAAATCAAGCCAAATCAAGTCAAGTCAAAGCAAGGTTCCGTCCTAGTCCGACGCATCACTTCAGACAAGCGCCACGATAAGCGCACGATAAGCAAGACCATGAAATCAAAGACAGGCCACAAATCAAGAAAAGTCAAGGATCAGACTACGATAACGCACCACAGTCAAGACAAGGACAAGAGACGCAACAGACTACGACACGATACAACACAATACAAAACGATCCGACAGACTACGAGACACGACACACTATACTACAATCGATACAAGACAAACATCCGATAAGCATAACAAGGGAATATGCGCAGTTAGGTTCAACCACCACGTTAGAGTTTAGGGTTCAACCCCACCCCCCCACCCGTTAGAGGGTTAGTTAGGTTTCAACCACCACGTTAGAGTTTAGGGTTCAACCCCACCCCCCCACCCGTTAGAGGGTTAGTTAGGTTTCTCGTTGTCTCGTCTCAAAACGTGTTCTCTCGGTGTCTCGGTGTTAGTGTTAGAGTCACTACAAGACAAGCAAACACAATACAACACGCAAGACTACAACAGCAACAAGACAGACAAAATCAAGCAATAAAACAGTAATAAAATCACAAAATCAAGCAAAATGAAGTCAAGTCAAAATGAGATCCTGTCCTCGCCCAACGCATCACCCCCCAGACAACCACTAAGACACGCGTACGATAACCAAGACCAGTCAAGACAAGGGCCGACTCAGAGCAATACTTATATGGTCAAAACTGAAATAGGTTTCAAACTTGTGAAACTATTTCTTTTTGTGGGCTGGTACATATCATGGAGGGTACGTCTAGGAATGATATGAGCCAAGAATTAGAGAAATCGGCGGTTGGGTTATGGAGATATGCTCAAAATACTGCCCTTTTGGCCCCACCACCATATGTCACCAATATCGACCTCCAGATGGTCCAGGACCATCACCAATCGATTCCTACACCTGAAAAACCCTAGGACAGTCCTTTACAGTATCGGTTTTGAGTTAAAATCAAGTACAGCAAAATATAGGGGGTAGGAGGGGGGAGGAGGACCTTGTATATCTCAAGAACGCGATTTTTTCTAGGAATTCTGGCTCGACCATCGTGTTCAGAGGGCTCAAGAGCCCCCAGGAAAAATGCTTTTGGACCACTGGCAAGTCATGGGAATGCTGTAAAAATCGATCTTTGTGGGGGGTATGAGGCAAACTGACCTATTTTATTTCACACAGGCTAGAAATACTCTGAAACCATCTCCAATGGATTTCAGTGATCATAAAACACTAGGATCACCCTTTGATATATCGGTATTTACATGATATCCAGATATATGCGTTAGGAGGGGGGAGGGGGGCCCTGCATATCTCCAGAACCTGATTTTTTCTGGGAAATCTGGCTCGACCATCGTGTTCAGAATGATCAATAGCCCTCGGGAGAAATGCTGTTGGAGCACCAGCAAGTCATGGGATGTCTGTAAAAATCGATCTTTGTGGGGGGGGCATGAGGCAAACTGACATATTTCAATTCAGACAAGCCGGGAATACTCCAGGACCATCTCCAATCGATTTCTGTGATCATAAAACACTAGAAACATCTTTTGATATATCGGTATTTACATAATATCAAGATATATGAGTTAGGAGGGGGGAGGGGGGCCCTGCATATCTCAAGAACATGATTTTTTCTGGGAAATCTGGCTCGACCATCGTGTTCAGATGGATGAAGAACCCCCAGGAAGAATAGTTTTGGAGTACTGGCAAGTCATGGGAAGCCTGAAAAAATCGATCTTTGTGGGGGGGTATCAGGTCAACTGACACATCACAATTCACATGAGCCCAGATGACTCTGAGACCATCTCCAATCAATTAATATGATCCAAAAACACCAGAAACATCCTTTTATACATCAGTATCGACATGGAATCCTGCCTCTGGGCACAGTAGGTAGGGGGAGGGGGAGGGGGTAGCATCACTCTGAAATATGATTTTTTCGGACCAAACCAGTGTTCCCATCAGATTCAGATGGCCAAATAACCCCAGAAACAAGTTCTATTTGAAGCCAAGCAAGTCATATGAAAGCTCAAAAAATCAATCATTGGGTGAGGCAGCATCACAGGGGTGACACTGCTTACATAAGCAAAAGCGGTCACATAGGTGAGCAACTTTGCAACAACATGACTTTGACATATCAAACCGTTGTTTCTACTGGTCCATGAGTTCAGGAACATCAGTATTGACATGGAATCATGCCTCTGGGCACAGTAGGTAGGGGGAGACAGCGGCATCACTCTGGAATATATGTGAATTTCTGAGTGATGGGCTGTATTTAGAAATGCTTATATAAGCAAAAATGCGGTGAACTTGAACCAAAAATTTTCATTCCTTCTTTCTTCCCTCTTCTTCACTCACCCCAAACTCTTTTTTTGAATTTGTGGGTCTGGGGGCCTCTTTTGCTGGTTGTCACTCCTCTATGGGAGTCCACCATTGATAATGGTGCCAGCTTTTTTCGCTTTTTTCACTTTGTGGGTCTGGGGGCCTCTTTTGCTGGTTGTCACTCCTCTATGGGAGTCCACCATTGATAATGGTGCCAGCTTTTTTCGCTTTTTTTCACTTTGTGGGTCTGGGGGCCTCTTTTGCTGGTTGCCACTCCTCTATGGGAGTCCACCATTGATAATGGTGCCAGCTATTTTCGCTTTTTTTCACTTTGTTGGTCTGGGGGCCTCTTTTGCTGGTTGTCACTCCTCTATGGGAGTCCACCATTGATAATGGTGCCAGCTTTTTTCGCTTTTTTTCACTTTGTGGGTCTGGGGGCCTCTTTTGCTGGTTGCCACTCCTCTATGGGAGTCCACCATTGATAATGGTGCCAGCTATTTTCGCTTTTTTTTTCACTTTGTTGGTCTGGGGGCCTCTTTTGCTGGTTGTCACTCCTCTATGGGAGTCCACCATTGATAATGGTGCCAGCTATTTTCGCATTTTCTTTCACTTTGTGGGTCTGGGGGACTTTTCCTGGTTGCCACTCCTCTATGGGAGTCTACTATTGATAATAGTACCAGTTTTTTTTCGCTTTTTTTCACTTTGTGGGTCTGGGGGCCTTTGACTGGTTGTCACTCCTCAATGGGAGCCTACTATTGATAATAGTGCCAGTTATTTTCGCCTCATGAGGCTTTTTGAGATCAACTGATGGCTGTTTAGATAGCTCTCACCCTTCTATGAGGGTTTAGTTAATTGTGTTTAATGTAACTGTTAGAATAGTATAAATAATTTTCGCTTCTGAGAGCATTTGCTATCCATGTCACTATTATCGCTAATGTGAATTATAAATTTTGGATATGAATGTGTTTGAGGTAGAACCAGTGTTGTGTATGAAGTGCCATGCCAAGGAAGGCAAGACTATCAAAGAATTATGACAATGCCTCAGAACACATCACCCTAGACAAAGTATTGGCGTCATGAAATATTCTCAAGAACTTGGCAGATCAACCAGTCTTTTGGTTTCACCTATTATTCCTGGAAGTGACTGTTGTTGACCATGCTGCCAGTAGCATAGACGATAGCGCTCAATACACCAGGTGATGCCCAGGTCATGGTCCTCCGGCTCACACAGTGACATTTTCCCCTGAGAATCCACTGCATATAGAGTATGTAATCGAGGCACCAGAGGCCCAGGCCTGGGATGGCGACTCCTCGTCTTCAAGTCAGACCACCCTGCAAGTACATCAAATATGAGATGCCCTCCTAGAGTTGATGCCGGTTCAGCTCAGAGATTGCGCGAGGCATTGAATCAGTGCAAGTCACATCATACATTCACTCACTCATGGCTCCTCGCTGACACGCTGAAGATGAGGAATCGTGAGTGGGTCTATACTGAAAAATATAAGATAAGTCGCCTGCAGTAGTCCTCGAACGCGAGTAGAAGTCGGCCCAAGAGGATCTTTACTGAGTCTTTTCCTCGAGTAAATGCGAGGGGATGCGCTGAACGAGTCAGCAAGGGAATCTGCGCAAAGCGCGGGTGCGAGACGCCTTGTAAACGCGAAACGCGCGTTAACGCGACGAAAGGTGAAAGTGCGACGTAGGCGGAACCGCGAGGCGGAACAAGCGCGCTATAGGCGTTAGTGAAGAGGCGGAAGTAGCGCGAAGGTCTCTCCAGATTTTCTCAAGAGAGCTTGTTGCAAAAGAATAGAGAGTCGCGCAGTGGTTGTGTTGCAAATGAATAGAAATTGATTCACAGTATACACTGATGCAGGATGATGGGATGTAGTGAGTAAGTAAGTAAGTGAAAAATCTATCAGAGTCCCCATGTCTAAGGTAAATGTTCCCAGGCGCTGAGCCGAAGCGGAAGCGAAGCGAAAAAGAGTTGTTGTGTTGTAGAATAAGGAAATATGTGTAAACAGACGAGGTATATAGCTAAAGTCAGTTGACAAGATAAAGGGAGACGCACCAGCGGATCATAGAGGGACAGGACAGGACGTGCGGAGGACAGGCGACTTGGAAAAGCGAACACGAAGGTAAAGCGCGAAAGCGCGCGCAAAGGCGCCGTAGTAACGCGAAAGGCGCTATAGAGGCGCGCTATAGGCGCCAGATGCGCGGATGCGCGGATTAGGCGGAAGCGTCGCGCGTTTAGCGCGTTTAAGTCGCCTTGTCGTATATAGCGCGCGTTAGTGGAGACAAAGTGGAAATACGGCCTTTGTGAGGCTACTCGCAATGGAGTCTCTACAACGCATCTGAGTGAATCATCGCTAAATGAGCATAAGTCACCTGGTACATTTGCTTGTAGCTTCCTCGCTGAGCATTCACAACGCAGTGAGACGTGGCTCTGAGCGAGTAAGAGGTCGAGGCAAAGGAAAACTGTCGTCAGATGAGCGCAAGTCCAAGCCACCTGGCCCATCTAGATGTACATCTGAGTGGTTCAGAAGTCAAGGCAAAGGAGAAGGAGGGGGTAGCATCACTCTAGAATATGATTTTTTCAGACCAAAACAGTGTTTCCATCGGATTAATATGGCTCCATAACCCCAGAAACAAGTTCAATTTGAAGCCAGGCAAGTCATATGAAAGCTCAAAAAATCAATCATTGGGTGTGACACTGCTTACATAAGCAAAAGCGGTCGACTCGAACATAGGTGGGCAACTTTACAGCATGACTCTGACAGATCAAATTTTAGTCCCTGCTTTATTTATATGGCTCAATGACCTCAGTAATCGCTGTGAGAAACACATGAGGCAGGAAGCACTGGACTGGAAAGGCATTACAGAGTAATCTGAGGATGAAGGTCAAGCTCGCTCCAATCCTGGCGAAATTCTTAATTGAGTGGAACATTTGTGCTGACCAAACATATGTTAATTAGCAGTTTTTGGGGCGCTGTGCATATAGACATACTGCAATATTCGTGTCTTTGGCGGTGATTGTCAATTGCATTTGTTTGTGTGTCCCTTGGGTGAGGCCAGGTCCATGCCCAAGCGTCCGCATCATATCCTGAGTCCAGTGCTCCTTGCCTCTTTGTCTCCTCATGACAAGACGTGAGGTCATTGGGTTCACCCAAGAATGTGAAAGATATGTTCCACCTTGACATGTGGGGCTTCTGGTCTACACATGAGGATGATGTGGTTGCTTTTTGGTGCGTCAAAATGAAAGCTTCAACTTCAAGAGGTGGATACCATCTGCACATCTGGCGCTGATCGTTATCTTGAGCATCTCATTGGTTCATCGCCATCAATGACTCCGCTTCCCTGCGCCCTTACCATTGATCTGGTACCACTGTTATCTCTGACTCGTGGGGGTTACGTCCCGGATGTTAACTATGACTATACTCATATGCCTGCTAGTCATCATACCAAGTCAGCAACCCCTTACCAATGACGTAGAGTAGTCATTGTAGTCCGACAATATCATGTTCAAATTTAGAAATTAGTGACGAAACAGTCAGGGAAGGCAGGGAGGCAGTTATTTGTGTTGCTCCACTATCAAACATGCCCATCTACATGACTTCTAGTTAGCATCACTATCGCTCCCCTTGCTTTTAGTAGGGAGTTGCTTCAATAGTAGTCCTCTTGGTTCGATTACTATACTCATGCATCTTTTGATAAGTAGTGCTAGTTGCTAACCGCCTAGTACCTATTTCTCTTTCACACCGGGGCTACTAGTTGGAAGTGGAGCATGAGCGTGCAACCACTGGGCTGGCGAGTGGACTGAACTAGCTCATATGCCTGCTAGTCATCATACCGAGTCGGCAAGCCCTTATAAATGATGTAGAGTACTGCTGGTCATGTATAAGCATGCCGGAAAATTCAAGGGCATGGCAGAAATCTTATGGGAGAGGGGTATAACATCTCGAAGCTGAAAGCCCAGTGTCCAAAGTTCATATGTCCAGATGGGGCTACTCAGTGTTGCTGTCAAAGAACCATTTTCAATGAGCCAGATTTCGTTAAGGTCTTGAGTATCCTTGAGGAGCACTGCCATCCATGGGAGTTCCAGCATATGATCCTCCCAAAATTCCACTATGAGCTCAACTTCATTGAACAGTGTTGGGGATATGCAAAAAGACTGTACCAGTTATATCCACCCACAAAGCGGGACGAGCAAATGGAAGGCGATATTTGTAAGGCCCTCAACTCTGTTCCTATTGAGTGCATGCGTCGGTGAGTGTTGTTTGGACTCGCTTGAATCAAACTCACACACCAGCCAAAAAATTTCCAACCAGGCCTCATGGTTCCGTGATGAATATCAGAAAGGTTCGACTGGAAAGCAAGCAGCTTGGGCAAATAAAAGTTACCGCGGTCGCCACATGCTGCCTGACAGCATACTGAAGGAACTCGGCGAGAAGCAAATCGTATAAGTACCCTAATCGATTGATCACATACCACATGCTCATACATTTGCTACATACACTTCGCACGCACTCTCGCACACAAAGTACTATTTACATCTAATCTTATAATCCCATTGTTACGCGGCGGGTAACACAGCTTCAGGACTGGCCATTCTAGTGCTTATGTGTTCAGTCACATCAACTCATGATTGGTCGGTTTTGTAAGAGTCCTACCTTAGCATTCATAAAATGCCCCTGTTTCATTTGGGTTGGAGTCAAAATGGAAGTGTGGCAACTGTGTACTCAAATACTGTTTTCCATAGGCTCAACAGACTGTTTGTATTTTTTTTACATAGCATTACAGTCTGTACTACGGACTATGTGCTCCTAATTTTTATGTTGAGTAGTTGTTGTGTTATGAAAAACTAGTTGGACCATTTTGCAACTCTGGGCCAGAGATCTTTGTAAGGTTGGACCGCCATTGTTATGATGGCTGTGGCGTGAGAATGTCATGTGATGTGAAGTTGATATGTGGCGCTTTAGCAAATTTTCCCTCTTTCTTTCTTACCATTACCTTCACAGGTGGTTTCTCGCCTCTATGGGCGTTCACTGTCGATGATGGTGGCCACCTTTCTATTCCTTGTTCTACTCTCATCATGCATGCAACCCTTGGACTGTGGTTGGTGGTTTCTCGCCTCTATGGGCGTTCACTGTCGATGATAGTGGCCATCTTCCTGTCCATTGGCCATGCTGGTAGCAGCCTGCATCCCTCTGATCAATTTCGCGTGGTTTCTCGCCTCTATGGGCGTTCACTATCGATGATGGTGGCCACCCTCCTCTTCCTCGTCCAACTTCTACTATCCATGCAACCCTTGGACTATGGTTGGTGGTTTCTCGCCTCTATGGGCATTCACTGTCGATGATAGTGGCCATCTTCCTGTCCATTGGCCATGCTGGTAGCATCCTGCATCCATCTGATCAATTTCGCGTGGTTTCTCGCCTCTATGGGCGTTCACTATCGATGATGGTGGCCACCTTCCTCTTCCTCGTCCCACTTCTACTATCCATGCAACCCTTGGACTATGGTTGGTGGTTTCTCGCCTCTATGGGCGTTCACTGTCGATGATAGTGGCCATCTTCCTGTCCATTGGCCATGCTGGTAGCATCCTGCATCCCTCTGATCAATTTCGCGTGGTTTCTCGCCTCTATGGGCGTTCACTATCGATGATGGTGACCACCTTTCCTCATTGTCCTATTCCTATATCTTTATCTCAAGTATTAGCCTTTGTCAGTGTGAGATAATTAGTGTAGTGTATGGTCGATTTAAATAAATTGATGTTTGAAATGTAACATGCTCAATTGCGCTTGGATTCATCACCAGGGCATGTGCAATGCTCATGAGCCGTTCAGTTTGATAGCGTGTATCTCTGCCCGTGAATGCATCACAAGCCAGAACACTGTTCTTGTAAATACCACCGCTGCTGAGCGCTGAGGACTGGATCTCCAAGGATAACAGTGATTAGATCATGTAGGCGACTCAGATGTTGTCTGACCGAGTAGTAGATTCCTTAGTGTCGTCCACAGTTCCTGAATGGTACAAGGCCACTATTTTGGCACTGTTTAGTGAGTAGTATATTGTCTGAACACAAAAGTGGATGGTGACTGAAACTGCTGGGCGAGACTCAGTTCATTTGCCTTGTATTGGATACCAGTAATATGCCTGATGATTATGAAGGTTCACACTGAATCTTGTGGATGAAATCTATATCACACTTCTCCAGGCATGAAGACTCGGCCAACAAATTATAATGGGAACAGTGAATGGGTGTAATAGATTAGATACATTACAACTACAACTCACATCTACGACTGTCGTTAGATATGCTTAACTGACCATGGCGGTCACGTTGGTGTAAAGCTCCCTTTTCACTCAAGTTTGACCAGGTCACTGGGACTTGTTCGTATAAGAATATTTTGCAATCAAGCATTATTATAGCCTGATCGCAAATGATCTTCTGTCATCAGAGATCAGCAAGGGGCTGGCTGGGAAACACGCCTTACCTAACCGTGATGGTGTTTTATGATACTCACAGTAATATCAGAACATGCCATCGCGATCAGAGAAAATGTTTTAGCCCAGTTGACCCCACTGATATGACCTGAAGGTCGCATACTACAGCATTGACTGGGTCGGACATTCCTGTCTCTATAAAGGGAGACATCAACTCAGCATCAAAGCTTATCTGACTGTGATGGCACTACCAAGTCGATGCCCTTCATGTAAATGGGAGATGTTCCTGAAATTGTAACCTACATTACACATATAAGCTAATCAACATCCATTTCCTCATCACTCTGCGTAGATTCTCCTATGTCAATGGGAAATGGCCTAGGCTTGCGAGGACGTGGGGGAGGTGGCACTCTCTTGTTTCTCTTGGCCATGGACATCGCTTTCTGAATCTCCCGACGCTTTTGCCTCGCTGTCTTCCTTCGTAGATTCCCATCAGTGTCAAATGGTTGAGAATCCATCAGATCCGCTGCAAAGATGCGCTTTCCCTTGATGAGCTTCATCGTACGACGTGCTCTTGGGGCTTTCATCCGACTCTCCGCCCCCCTTCCAACACAGTCGATCCTGTAAAATACAGGATTCGTCATGAATGCAATGGCATCGTGCTTCCACATCCACACTTTTCCACTGCTTGCAGGGAGACAATGCAGATCCGCAAATACCTCGCATAACCCTTGCTTCAGCGATACCCTCTGATCCTCTTCCATCCTATTCATCGTCCTGTGAAACTCTGCAATATAGCCATCTCTTTCCCACAGCGTACACCACTGAGTGTTGTCTTTATGGGAGGCATCAGGGTCAGGAAAGAATAGGGAGCACCTGTCCACAAATGTTCTCGACTTTGGACCCATGCGACCTGGAGTTACACCTGTACGATCATGCAGCCCAGCATTGCACGCTTCAAACGCAACTGCAGCCAGAGTGTCATCGATGCTGGTTATTGTCCAGCATTTCATGGCCTCCTGAAGCGAGCTTGGGTGGGGTCTGACGCCTTTGAATACTTCAGGCGTCAGCATAAGCCACACGTGCCTCGTGAACATGACAATCAAACGTCCGACAGAGAGTTGAGTGTTCGATAACGTGGTCGACCATATCCATGGTCGCATGATCATTGCAGGTGAGTTTGCGATGGCTGCCTTGAGTCGAATCCATGTTGGCGTCCGCCCAAGTGGATAGTCCTCCAACTCTGATTCAGTAGATCGCAACGCATCTATCCTTCCTACTGCTCTATCCCTTTGAGCCTTTGCATTGACACCCATGAGGGCTAGGACATTCACATCGTCGATTTGCTGCACCTCGTCCAGGCATGTTTCGCTGTTGAGATCGAATTCCCGTAAGAAAAACATCCCTGCTGTCTCGAGGACATTTCTATATTCGAGGAGGGCAAGGGATTCGCGGACGTGAAAGTCATAGACAATAGGGGTTGATGTAGTCGAACGAAGCATGTGGTTCAGCAAGCCAGTCAGGACGCCTAGATTGGGAGGATTCTTTTTGACGATGGATATTTGGGTCCTCTGAATCTCGCGCACCCGTCGCCTGATGAGCTCGAACCAGATCTTGGATGGGATCCACAGAATCGGATCTGACTGTAGATAATCTCTAGCCTGCATGAACGATATCACTTAGCTCGCATGTCAATACTAACTGATGTGTGAATTCCTGACCTTGTCTTCTATATTATCTAGCATTACTCTGGCTGCATGTCCACTGACCCTATACTCGTCCCTAACACCATATGTCTTCTCCTTGCAACCATCGAGAACCTTTGCGATTTCAAAGCATTCAGCCATATAAGATGGCGACAGCTTGTATGCATCGCTGTCGGAAGCAAAATGGGCCTTGTTGGTGTTCGTTCGGATGGACTCATAGTATAGGTTGTATGTGCTCCTGAATGCGATGTGCGTCTGCTGGGATCTCTCCTGCTGCATCTCGGCCTGCATTGCCCCATATCTAGAGAGCGTGTTGTGATGATGCATCTCCCCTCTCTTGTAACCTCCTGCGCCAAATGAGGCTTCCAATGCGTCTAATCTCCATACTCCTACAACTGGAACGTCTGGAGAGTGAGGCGTGAATGAGATGCCAACGTCCACCAGAAGTTCACCATGCTTCCGGTTCATCATGTATGGCCAGTCGAGGTCGGACAGATTATGACGCAGTGCTTCTTCCGGTCCTGAAAAGCGCCCTCTCTGACCATCCTTTGTGAGCAGCTTGATGCCCTTTCCTTCTAGAATGAAAAACAGCGACCCATACATGCTGAGCTCACCCTCCCCATCGCGTATGCGAGCTTCCATGCGCTCCTGCACATCTCTGAAGTCATCATCTGACAAGGGTATTGTCTTTGGTGGCCCCCATCCGCCTTTCCGTGCATCTCCACCTCTCGCCTTGTATCGTGCCTCCTCCAGCGTGTGCTTAAGGTATGGCGCCCAACTAACATCAGTGCAGTCTCCTATGGATGGAAGTAGCACATTATCCCAGAAAATGTCCAGAACCTCCTTCGGTATCAGCGTGATTCTCCGGCCATTCAGAGGGTGTTGATGGATCATCCTTGGGAATGCAATATATAGATTGAGTGTCGATGACGCAGATGATATGCGGCCAATACAGGCATGAGGGATGGCAGACATCGGAAATCTTTTGGACAGCCATTCTGTCCTGCCACCAGGCGCACTAGCATCTGCCTCTGACTGTGGAATAATGATGTCGACGTAGGTATGATTGTGCTTGAATATACCAGGTTTCGTTTGAAATGGCGGAGTGATGTAGATCCCCACGGACCCCCGGCATCGGAAGACCTTCGCGGTCCAAATGATACTGTCAATGTCTAAGGAAGTCTCGATCTCATCTTCTGAAAATCTGACAGCATCCCGTTCTAAGTCGAGATACAAGGAAGGGCCATCACCATAACGATGGCTGGTGAGACCACGCACAAAAGCATTGTGTCCGAACCTACATTCATCATGCAGTGGAGGATCATGTTGGGCAGAGTCGATGAGTTCAGACGCGGAGAGAATTTCGACATCTGCGACGTGTGTTTGACGTCCTCCTCCATCTGATGCTAGTCGGTCCAGACTGTATGCGCCTGTTACACGGTCTGGGACCTGATTTGAAGGATCATATGACTTGGTTGTTCCGATGGGCATGACGTGGTCCATGGTTGCTATGGGATCACATTGATAGAATATGTGGACTGAGCTAGGTGTGATGCGGTACCCATGATCAACCCAGTCCACCCAAGAAGCGGAGGTCTGGATGCCTCCAGCTTGGAATGTAATCACTGGGTCGATTTCCCTGGGAGTTGCTAACATCTCGATTGTTGGTCCACCATCATACTCGTCGAACGTGGAGTCACCCTGCAGCCATCTCCTACCTGCATATGCAGCCAGGGCTACTGGTGCGATGGGACGTGGAAATCGCTTGTTGCTTCCAAGATTCCAGTGTTTTACCCGCCTACGAGATGCTGAGGCAGTTGCAGATCGTTGTGAGTCAATGGAATCATCGACATCTGATGGCACGTCTGGCTCGAGTTCGAGGTGTGTCCCTATCGCACGAGGGACTATGAAATGACGATTCCGGGATCCATTCAGTTGTTTGTGTGCTTTAAAAAGCTTTGCGAGGATCGCCTTTCTATCTGCAGGTAGGGTCGTGCCAAACGAGTCTTCATCGTCACTCCTTTCAGCTTCAAAGCCTTCTTCACCGCCTGAGGATCGTTCTCCGTTCGGTGCATCGCGTAAGGGGCGTTCGAGATTCCGACTGGCCATGGGACGTTGACACATGGAGCAAGTTGCGCTCACAACAGTCAATTTCCGCAGGAGTGTGAGACATTCAGCCTGATGACGCCCATTCTGAATCGCATTGATGATATCTTCGTCGGGTAGCTCATCTGGCCTCCAATCATCTTGTGGGCTGTCGAGGAGCATCAGATAGTCGCTACAGCAGAGCTTTATGCGCCCAGCAATTACATGCAACATGTGAATGCGCAGTCTATGGCCGCACTGAATGTGAAAGGCTGGCAAGTCACCATGCTCGTCTAATCCAGATTTCAGACATTGCTCAAGTACGGAGCAAGCGATCGGACCGCAGTCCACTCCATTTTGCTCCCAGTCCATGGTCATCACAGATATATCAGTGGCATCCCCTGCCCTCCACCCATGAAGGCCAGCAATTCGCCTCCAATATTCCGGTCCCCTCCACTGGTTCCAGTCGTCTGGATCCACTCCGTCGACGTTCATTGCATCGTTGGAAATATGGCGACCAAGGACATGCACATTGCGTCGCTGGTAGTCGAAGATGACTGCGAATAAATGTTCGGAGTGATGGACTATGAATCCAACGGGGAGAACAGGACATATGCCATCGGGAGGCAAGAAATTGTTCCTCCGGAAGTGCTGTACTTCTTCATCCACGACCTCATTTCCCATCGCATTATGCAGACCAATATATCTCATGCGTGATCTGCCGAGCAGCTCATACCACACATGGAATAAATAAAAGTCCGCCACAGTCACCTCAAGCCACTCATTCAATCCGAGGGTTTCCCAGGTGTTTAGAACAGAGGTCCAAACGAGTGGTCGGGCCATTGCACGAGCTATCCTCATGAGGAATCAGTGTTTTTATGCGTTGTGGGAATCATTATAAACTCACAAGCAATTTCCTCAACCGTCAGTTCAGCTGTTACATGGGGTGGTAATTCAAGCGAAGGTGACTGTAAAGTATGTTGTGGTGATGGAGAAGGCCTATACTCATCGTCTTGCAGCCTTCCTGCAGATGGTGCTGGACTCCCTAATCAAGAATGTTAATACAGCCGTTGCATTAACATGAAATATTCCTACATGGTTGTGTGCCATGTATACATTCATCGCCCAAATTATTCAATTCGACGGTAGCTGAAGGTGATCGATGAATAACCTCACGTGTGGATGCTGCATATTTAAACTTGAGGACATCTGGCATTCATTAGTCGTTACAATATGACTGACCAGTAACTTTGGGACGAAAGACGCGCTTCTTTGGACGTCCCCGATGTCGCCGATCAGTAGACACACGTTCACTGACAATCCCCCCCCTCCATGCATTGAATGTTGTCATTTACATCGACACATGCTTCTCCTGTGACATGTTTATCAATTATCATCTTCTCAGTTTGGACAACCATCTCATTTATACCCTGATGATGTGCGATATCAGCATGTTCCTGTTGGTCCTCCAGCACTGGGTTGCTGGTAGCGCGAATTATCCATCTGGAACCATTTGCTCGCTCCTGCAGTGATGGTGCCTTATTGATCGACACCGCTGTCTTGCCTTGTTGACCTATGCCGACATTCAGGTGGATGCAGGTAGAGGTCGAGTACAGACACTTACGCTTTGTGATTGCTTTCCTAGCTGGTCGTCCCTGTGGACGCCGTGGCTTATATTGCACTGAATCATCCATCCGTTTGGCTTTGCCTCTATCATTGATTTCTGTTGACTGTAACCTGACAGACAACGACCCATTTGGGTTCCAATCTAGGATGCCAGACGTCATGATCAGCTGCAGTATGTCATTTTCATCCACCTCGTCATCCTCGGCTGACTCGACCCACTGATCCTGGTCATGCATTGCGCTTTCTAGTATTGTGTTTATTGAATGATGGTGAATTGTATAAGCTTTTGGTAGGACTTGTTCGGGAACTGGACTGATTGTAGCACGGATGAGTCGTTTAGTTGCATGCTGGATCTTCTGAGCCGATACTTCAGTAGGTGGTATCGTCACCACTTTGTTACCTGCAGAATGATATGAACTTTTCATTTTGATAGGGGCTCAGCATGTGTACTCACGACGCTGTACAACTCGCTTTTTTGGCCTTCCTCTCTTTGGCTTTTGTTTTTCGAACTCATCTGTCCCCTCATCTACAGTCTCGCATTTCTCTACAGCTGCAGATAGTGCTTTGATATTTACACTATCGTGTGATCCAAACATAGACGCACTCTTATTTGAATGGCCACTAGTTCCTAATATCGTTGATCTATGTGGATCTGGATCCAGGATGTTCAATTTACGGATTTGTTGCAGAATATTGAGGGAATCCTCATCATCCATCGTATGAAGTATGGTGTTGTGTGACCGATCGCTTGCACGCTGGTAAAAATTGTAATTATATTCGGTCCAATGGTGCCTAGAATGTCCATGTGGTACAATGAAGCGAACTACATCCCTGATGGAATGCCTAAACCAATACTTACGCAACGAATTGCTGTTGATTGACTCAGAGGCTATGACTTGTCTTGGCATTGCTTCCGAATTTTTCGGGCACTTTAAGCTTTCGGCTCCATGGAATGGAACATTAACATTCGATGAGCTCCGGTCGGATCTGATTCAATTATGTAACACTTCATGTGATGCCGTACGAACAGCCCTCTATCATGGTCCATTGGACTAGTCATACTTTATTTTCTTGATCCGTTCATCAGATCGAGACATTTTCAGGGGATGTGCAACAGCCTCCGCTGAAGGGTACCTATTTCTTTGAACGGCCGATGTTCTTTGCAGATTTTCCACTCCCACTTCAACCTTCATGTCCCGCAGACCATCAATTAACAGCCATGTATCACACCCAAATAGAAGGGCAGGGTTGACTCCAATGCGCCAAAATCATCCTAATCTACGTAAATTGAGACGATGCACCTCGTTGGAATGTAAGTTGAATACGTACTACCTTGCGGTGTAAATATTTTAACTTTTATTTCCCTCCATTTACAGGGATATACAATACCAACGACAATCCTACTGATGCGAATGGCAGTATGGTCATTCGAGTAGGGGAAGAGTATGAATTTTCCAGTGTATTGTCATGGTGATCCTGATATACATTTTGTAGTGTCTCAATCTATCCACTAGATGAACGAGCAGTTCAGATGCGAGATGGGAGTCTACCAGTAATGTCCTATTGGTATGGCAAGGTGGCCGAGATTTATCTGAAGGCTGGTAGGCAGGTACAGGAAAGTACAGTATACTCAAAATATCCCGCCGGTCCTGACTTACCGAACCGTTATATTATAGGACGTATGGCTTGACATACAGTGGTATTATCGCAAAGTTGATTTGGAAGATGAGGGCGTCGAGTATGTTGTTGAATTTAAAATGATTATAACGATTCTGATGAATCCTTGGATTTAATTTAGTCTTGCAGCTTCCGTTGGTGAATATGAGCTTGTTCTCAGCGATCATATATCTGTAGTTGATATGTGCTGTGTGGAGGGTAGGTGCCTAGATATGCGTGAGTATTTGAGCAAGTTTATTGACATCTGCACATGCTTTGTAGATCATGCGACCATCCTGCCGTACGACGAAGGCGATCTAACGCAACCTCAGATTCCCATAGGGAGACCGTACAATCGGTGGACCATTGATATCACGTTCTCAAGGAATCGTCGTATGGTGTATATGGAAGAGGTAAACATCCGTGTATGCGAATATCTTTCTGTTGACATCTGTCCATAAAGCTTATGAGATAATATATAGAACTCTCAAGGAGCTACGACGTGTGGATGCCATAGATGCCATCCATCATTTTCCTCCCCAATGACCCCACAGCGATACTGCAGGAAATGCAACCAATGGTTCAACGAGGAATGTGTTGCAAGTCTTGGGCGTCAGCTGCGGAGAAATGTGAAGGCAGGCGTTCAATCCATGTATAGTGACATCAGCTTTGACCCGCAGTTTCTGTCGCTCTTGACCTTGCCAATTCGACGAGGGGCATCATGTGGGGTAGTTGGCAACGGAATGATATTAGTCAAGGGAGGGGAACTCATGGACGAGGCTAGGATTCTTGGACAACTCCCTGAAGGATGGAAGGAGATCATGCAGCAAGCCATGGGACCGATGGGCGATGAGAACATTGCTAGATACTACTGCATAGCTTGCACAACGGCGGTGATCTAGTATTTCTACCCTAATTCCATTTTTGTTAATCTAGCCGTCTCAGACTCCGCCATAAGTCTTTCATTTCATTAAAATAAACTTTCACTTATGTGATTCATCGCATCTCGGACCTCATTGATTTGTCTTAGTATTGCAATAATCTTAAAAATGTTGTGTATGACACATCATTTATCCAATGTCATCATTGGCTTCTATCGCACGAGGATCATCGGTTCCGAGTCCAATAAAATTTACTATATGATGATGCGTGCGTGTTTAGGACGCTCTTTCACATCGCCGCTCATGAATCCATCTTGCACGTTTCGTAAATGGAGCAAACCGCGATGCCCAGCAGTTGCTGAAAGTCAAAGGGACCATCCAAGACGTCGATGGAGAGTGTTCCCTGAAGCTCTCTGTACATTCACGCAAGGGATGCCCCATAGCCCCTCACTATCGCTTGCCATTATATGCGCTCAACAAGAAGTTTGGCATTTACAGAAAAGTCGTGGAACACCTACAGACATTATCCAGTGTTGAGGCTGCCACAATGCGAAACACCTACTTGTCTGTCATGCAATATCTGAACGACGTACGCATTGCGTTTCTGGATGATTCCAGTGCATCTTTCCGATCCGCTACATGGCGAGTTTAGATCTTCCGCATTGGGATTATTATCTGTGGTTGGACCACACAGGTGATGGCTTTCATGATGAGTGCCGCGAAGCGTTGGAAAAAAAGGCATGGCGTCACGTTCGAACGCCTGGAGAGTGGAACGAGTACAGACGTCCTACTGTTTCGTGCGTTCTCGCTCATTTTAAATCTCCATTGGCCTCATTTTGCGATCCAGTAGATTGGCCTGTATATCACAGGGCCAATTGCACGGAGCATGACTTCTGCGGAGCCATACAAGGATCTGGTTCGGGAGAAGACATGAAGAGTTTACTGGATGCGGTCAATGCCAGTATCAATGCAGGCATTGACCAAAAAAACACTACAACATCTTATTCCTATGCTGAGACGACGGATGAGTCTGACGATGAAGACGTGGTACGTTACTCGTCTAGCGCAACCATGTCCATATGATATAGTACTTCTAGAATTCTGGTGCATATCCAAAATTCCCATTGCCATTCGATTGAATGCTCGCGACCTTTGCTCTTGGCACTCTTGGCACATATGCAAATACTCTTTTAGTATCTGGCGTTGGACAATGGCTACCTAGCCATATCGCAATGCGATTTTCGAGAACTTCAACGGCGTAATCATGACGATCCATTGGTGATCTGTTTTCTAATGGGTTGGTTGTGTCTACAAGAAATGTAGATGAGTACATGGAAATCATTGGGATGGTAGAAATGATGGATATATGCCGGACAACACCAACAAATCGCAGGTCCTTGCACGATTCTTTACTGCTGCTGGTCGCGCTCTCTATAACTCACGCCAGAGCACAACATGCGTGATCGACCGTGATTCACATCGTTGGGGTAATCAGTAAAGAGGTGATTTTTTGCCACGCCGCATATTTATATCAACGATCAGAATGGCTGATGATGGAAAATCCCCCAGGACGCTGAGTTGGGCTGGTGAGCCCACTATGGCGATCTCTGTTGGCGTGCAATGTCACTCCGTTGGCGTGCAATACAACTCTCTGGGAGTGCAATGTGACTCCATTTGTGTTGCGATACGACTCTCTGGGCGTGCATCTGACTCCATTGAGGAGTCCATTGTCCAATTACCTACCAGCTGCTCCATGCTGGATCGCGAAGTACAGACCAACATTGACAGCCGCTCCATGCTGGATCGCGAAGTACAGACCAACATTGATGGCCAAGATGAGCTATCCATGGACTACTCTAATGATTGGATGTATGAGCCTGTTCTTGAGTCGGATTGTGGCAATTCACTGCACCCTGAAGATCAACCAATCAACGAACGATCTTATGTACGTGTCGTGATTCCACTCTTATCATACCAAAATTGTAACGTGATTCCTGCAGGATGATCTTGCATATATTCCATCATCAGCCACTTGCAGCGATCCTTCCGCTGATGTATCTCACGGTACATCGATTCGTCTGGAAGCAGCGATCGGGGCGAATGCGGATGTCTCTGATTCATCCAGCTCTGGATGTAACGAGTCTAATAGTTGCGAAGCGCTGCAGGAGATGATCATTAGGCCCGTCTCACCCACATTAAAGTCACGATTACGCCAGAATAAGCGAGCCGTCATACCCAAAGCCCCTGCAGCACCCTCTCGGAGAGAGGGTTCATCCAAACCTGGACGGCCCGTCGTGTTTGCGACCCAAAGGACTGTAGTTACGGAGAAAGGCAAAGTAGGTCGGCAACAGGTGAAATCACCAAAATACACCATTCAAGATCTCGTTCGTGAGTCCCAGACAGGTGGACACAATGTTGCCCCTTTCGTATGTCAACGAAACCTGTACTCCCATTGTGACTTAATTTGCAGAATAGATTTCCTCATTTCTCATGGATCCGGACGGCATGGATTTCGTGCAATCCACCATAGGCTCCTCTCATGATTCATGGTTGTGCGTCGCTCGACACATTGCATCACTCCTCCGCCATGAATGCCTGTCGGGTGCTATGAGTAAGATGGCAGCGTCACTGATGTCAGTTGACATGTGGATGAAGGAAATTTCTATTGAGTGCAAGAACGCACTGGCTAATGAGACAGGAGTTGCAGTTCTTCCCCCGTTGGTATGAATCCATTCTCCCCATTATCGTGCTATAACATTTTTACGTGTACAGGCACATTGTGTGATCGTCGAACTTTCAGCACGTGCCCTATTGGACGAGGAATCCGTTCGTTCTACATTGCACAGTATTTGGGTGAGTTAGGTTAGTTAGGGTTAGTTAGGGTTAGTGTTAGTTAGTATACTTAGGGTTAGTTAGGGTTAGGGTTCGTTAGGGTTAGTTAGGGTTAGTTAGGGTTAGTAATTAGGGTTGTTGGGTTTAGGTTAGTTTAGGGTTCGTTGGGTTAGTTCGGTTCGTTCGGGTTAGTTTA